AGTACCACGGTCACCCCCTAACGACAAACATATCGTCGTATATTTAGTATTGCTGTGGCACAAGGGTTTCCAGTTGCGCATTATCAGAAGACGCCCCTAGGCATTATTTCCAAAGGATTATCAAGGTGTCCTCGAGTAAGGACGATAGATAATTGGAAATAAAAGACCCCGTTCCCACTTCAACCAAAACGCCGGTAATATAAAAACACTTCCAGATCCTAGTGTAGTAAAGACAAGTAAAACGAAATTTTGAACTATAAAAAACGAAACGAAATAGGATCTGTGTTTTAATCAGATTGCTATTTTTCTAGTAAGATTGGATGTTTCTACGTTCTATATACATGTATACCAAAATTGCCATACTTTTATTGGAAATAAACAACCGATAAATACTTCTGTGGGAAAGTATCTTTAAACCTCCTGTTTCATTATTTGAGTGGATGTCTGACTAAACTGAAATAAACGGTTAGCTGGCCACCGAGGCGCCCTAACAGTAAAAGTACTATCAAATCAAGCCAAATGACACGGGACAAGGCTTGTGGCGATACAAGTTTCGCCCATTGAAAAAAAACTGACTAACAAGTAAATACAAACAAAATCGATTCATAACCTTCAGGTCTGTGGCGACTCAGATTTTTATGAGATACAGTTTATCTGCATTTCATTAAATATTAGCCCAGGTCACACAGTTGCGCTTACTTAGAACTTGAATAAATAACAATCTAAAAGAAATAAAAATTTACACCAATTTCAAAGGGCATTCTTCACATCTCGTAGAATATGATCAGCTCATACTCTATCTCTGAATAAAATTACTAGTCAGGTTGCTTCATGTATTTATAAGTGTCTTCTAAAAATAATACCATGGCAGGGGTGGATCCAGAGATGGGGGGGGGGCAAACCCCCTCCTGCTTACCTACATATAGGTGTCAGGGTCGTGTACTTTATCCTTTAGTGTCAGATGGTGGGATGGGATAGGCATTCAAAGCGCGCGATAATGAGATAAGCATGTGTGATATCACAATTAATGCTTTGCATAAATGAAAGTGAGTCATAATATGTTCCTATTAATTCATAATAAAAACTGACGTCAAACGGGGTGTTGGATTTCTCTCTTTAAAAAGCTCAGTGTGTATATACATAGGCGTACGAGCTGGGGGGGGGGGGCTGGGGGGCGGCCGCCCCCCCCCCCCCCCCATTTTGGGCACCAAATGCTGGGAAAATTTGGGCACACAATTGTACTTTGTAAAAGTTGTATAAAAAAATATTGTGTTCTTGAATGTGTCCAATTTAACAGCGAATTTATTATTATTATGTAACATACTAAGAACCTAACTACATTTTTTGGGCACCAACCACCACCGCCCCCCCCCCCCCCAGTCAAAAATTTCCTCGTACGCCCATGTGTATATATATATATACGCCAAAATGACGATGGAGACCATGTATTTCTCAAATATTTCAAGACGGGGAAGAGACTGCCCCCCCTCCCCAAAGATACATTGTCTTAGGTACCGGATAAACTCCTTACTGCAAAAATTACCGGACCCGCCCCTGCATGGTTGCTTTTTAAGCAACTTCCTTAAATTATTATTGATCCATTATGTTCATTACGCTGGTGGTGTTAGTTAATTATAGAAGTGGATAAATAGTTGGTTTTCTTTATAGGTTAATTTAGAAAAGAGAGAGAGAGAGAGAAATGGGGTTTAACGTCCACTCGACAAAAACTAGGTCATTTCGGGACTAACATGTGGTTTAATTTTATTTCAATAATTCGCTTGCGCGTAGGGGTCTTTAGCAGTGGGAGGAAACCGGAGGACCCGGAGAAAACCCACGAGGTTGGACAGGCTAATTTAGAAAATTGTCGTTTTTAGCTGTTTAAAGATTATACCAACTATTATTCCTTTTTACACGTATATGAAATGCTCCGACTAATGAAGACGGCCATGCGACATACAGTGTGCTATGAGGAAAAGTTTGCACTACAGCCTGCTCTTATATAGAATTCAGTGCCATGGGACCTCGGTTTTTCGTCCCATCCAAACGACCAGACAGATGCCTTTTTCAGGCTCCCCGTCCTGCACCACAGCCGTAGTTCTGCTGTCCTGGCAAAATCTTCGTTAGTCCAGTTCGGAGCAGAACAATAGGACTTTAAACTCGATTTCATTTCATTCCATTTATCAACAGACACACAGACTTACGTTATTTCACACAAGTTCGCTCCACGTCAAAATATAACTGATTAACCCTGCATATAAGGGACATCAGAATGTAACAATCTAAACAACAAATCCACCCTACCTACAAAGAAGTTTTAAAAAAGCTAGCTACCAGTTAGTTTTCGAACGTCAGTTACGTACACAGAATATAACAAACAGTAACCTGCCACTTAATCCCACCTTCGTCTTCTTTGTCGTCCCCCCGAAGGTGTGTGGGTGGCCGAATGGTTAGCACGTGCGCGCTGTATCATAAGGTCTGTCCAGCCTCGTGGATTTTCTCCGGGTCCTCCGGTTTCCTCCCACTGCTAAAGACCCTACGAGAAAACGAATTATTGAAATAAAATTAAACCATATGTTAATACGAAATAACCTAGTTTGTGTCGTGTGGACGTTACCCCCCCCCCCCCCTCTCTCTCTCTCTCTCTCTCTCTCTCTTATGGGAGTTAACATACTGTTAAATACCTAAATCTTTTAAACAAGTTCGATCCCGTCTGTAGAAGGAACCAGGGCGATGGCTCCCTAACCGGTGTTGGCCGAGAACGTCCCCCGAGATTTTCCAGCGAATTGTTGAAATACAATTGAGCCATATGTTTGTCCAGAAATGACCTAGTTTGGGTGGAGTGGACGTTACCCTCTCTCACTCTTTCTTGCTCTCTCTTTCTCTCTTTCACTCCATTTTCCTTAGTCAGACCCAAAGGGTAATCGAGCTTGGTACACACCCCCTGCAAACAGGCCATCTATTCCAAAAATAAAGTCAGGTACTATTATAGAGAGAAGAACATCTATAACAGCCATATCAACTGGCGACACCAATTAACCGAAGACTTCATCTATAATAATAAAAAATCAATACCCTTGAATGACGAGAGATATAGATACTGCGTGATCAACACCCGAGATTAAAAGAAACAATCACCAAGAAAAAACCCCCAAACAAACAAATTGTTGATCAATGGGATGAGGTGTGGATTAACGCCATAATTTTACCATGGTTACATTGAGATTATCATATGGTTATTTGTTTTTATCTAGATTGCTCCCTTTCCAAAATGGACTAGAGTCGGCCTCGGCATCTGCCTAGCCACCACTAAAATATGTTGGGGTTTTTTTTGGAAGGGGGAGAGCGATTAAAAAACTGGTACATTTGCTATACGCAGTGCGTATCGATAGGAAAATTTGTTTTGACCGTGTCCTACCAAACCATCAAAATCTCAATGGAAAATGGTCAATTGCCCTTCATTGACAGATTTGATTAGTTACATGTGGGGAAAAATAAAAATGGCACTTAAATGTTATACTTAATATTTCGTGGTGGTGGTGGTGCTGTACCCAACTACCTACCCCTGCCGGCTCCAACATTTGGTTTCGCCCTTTAGATTTAGTTCGATGAATTATCTCTTTAATAAACAAATACGTCATTATTAAGACTGGGATTATATTACTAATAAGACGTCAATCTTTTTAGTATCACGTGATATGTGTAACGTTATTATCGTAATAGAAACTCATGAAATGTAGCGGGTATAATTTAACAGTTATTCGCGGAACAGCCTTTATTTGGCCAAACGAAGGCCGTTTGTGAGGAGGCTGTAACGGCATTATGTACCATGTCCCCTTGTTGACGTCTGCTCGCTCCAAAAATGACTATTCCAATTTTGATGCCCATGACGAATGGCACCACAATATAATAGGCATATATTGCTCTGGTGAGAGCTTGAATCCATTCTCATAAAGTCCTCTAAAGCAGTCAAGGTATAGACAAGTTATGATTTGCTTCAAATCGTACACGGATAAACACATAAGTACCAAAGCACCATTGATTTGCTCGAACCCATTCTCATAAAGTCCTCTTAAGCAGTCAATGTAGCCTATAGAAAAATCCTGATTCGCTCGAAGCTGTACACAGATAAAATCATAAGTACCAAAGCATTGATTTGATCGAACCTTTTCACCCGCTTCTTTCTCATCTCATAATGGATCAATTTGACTGAAATTTTCAGCAAATTACCTTTACACTATCTAGTTTTTAACTATTATAGCGAGAATTGTCATCTCTTTATCTTATCTCCCATAATGTATCTTTAAAGCGGTCAAGGTATAGACAAATCATGATTTGCTCGCAGATAGAAATATAAGCATCAAAGCACAGGAATTTTCCGTAGTAGAACAACATATACCTAATCAAATTATATTCCAGCAGGCTTAGAGACCCGTGAACTGAACAAAAAGTGGTTCTAAGGTGCGTGGTGTAGATTTAAATGACGACATATTCGACATGCTAACGAAAAGAAGACGCAATGGTGTCGTTTCAAGGACTTGTAACTGCGGTTGTAGTTGTGAATGAACTCTATAGGTGTGATTTTCAAACCCGAAAATGCTTGACAATAATTATGTTGGAGAAATGATTGAGTTGGATCAACTCCTTCACTCCTAAAAAATATTAATGAGGACAATTTTAAGAAGTTTGTTTACTGACTATTAACCGACAATTAAATTATTTATGTTTTAAATGCTTTTTTATGAATCTGCTTTGCTGACCTCCGACTCGTACGCCCAAGCGGAGATTCTATACAATCATTTTATCATATGGACATTATTATTAAAATGTCTATATATATATGACTCTGTTTTCTTCGAGATTTTTTATTGATTAATGGCACATTGGTTTATTATGGGTATGGAAGTGTTTTTTTTTTAAATGTAGGCCAATAGTTCAAATTATAGCTGTCTGATTCCGATTGTATTCCAAGGGGAGGTAATAAATCTAAAATCTAGTTATCCCGGAAGTTAAAATACTGAAAAGGGGAATTCCATGTGGATTGTTGCGGTAACATTTCTGTTATTGTTTATTTCTTTTATTTTCTGTAATTATTTATGACCAGAACAGTAATTAAGTGACAATAATCTTTGGGAAAAGAAAAATGTAAATTTGTATCAACAGGGAAATTAAATACGGGCTGTTTTCAATCTGTTCAGTGTTTATTTCAACTGACCTGGCTGTGGCTGTTGAATGTTTTCGTTCAGACTTGTTTGTTATTTTGTATTAAATTTAACTAGGCTATATGAGTAGACATATTTACGGAGTGGGTAAATCCTACCATCACTACCAATTTGATTAATTTCAAAGCAGAATATGAAAATCAGTGTCATTACCATGTTTGTTGTGTTTATTTAAATTTAATAAATATTTGATACAAATCTGAAACCAAAGCCTATATAATAATAGGCCAAGACAATAGTCTATAGACAAGGAAACAGATGCAAGGAAAAGATTTGAGCTAAATATATCCAGCCATTTGGTAATGAATGACAAAATTACTAAAGAAGTACATGTAATTAAATCTAATACAGTGACATGATAAAGGCGACAACCACGCTAAGGAAATATTCTACTGTTATATAGTCTACATGGTTATCCAAACACTATCGCAGGTGTCAATATGAAAACTTGTCCTTAATTAAAGGACTATATAGGATAAAGGATTTGTAAGAAACCTTCACATACAGTTTTATTCGTTAGAATGCTTTCCTTTTAGTGTATGTATGTACAGTAAGTCAATTTCTAATCTATTTTTCAGGTGACAAAATGAAGAAAATATGCTTGTCAGACGTAGATGCTGATTTCTTCGCAGATGAATTGGATCCAAGAGAGTTTGATTTTTTTCAGAAACACAAGGAAACCTTTAAATGCATGTGGGTTGAACAGGTAAAACATTCTGTTATTAATTAAGTCATAATTAATTACCAATCTATTTAAGATATTTTGATTAGAGCTAATCCCACTTAACACTGTTGTAAAGGAAGCAAATTTCTGTCCCAAATTATTACTGGTCAATAGTCTGATTAATAACCAATAGCTAACTGCGTAACAATATCATTACACGTTAAACAGAGTTCCAAATTGGACCCATTATGTTAATATAACGTTACGTCATGACTCACGATTTTGTTATGCCCAATTAACCAGTGCATAGCAGAATATTGCAGAAAAAAATAATTGTGTGACAAACGAGGTTATCAACATGGATACAATGTAAACAATGCTGTTTGGAGACGAACATACTTTCACCGTTTTTAATACCTTAAATCACTGTTCAAAGTTTTAGGGAAGGCCCCAGATTAAACGAAGGACAGTCATGTTGCTGTACTTAGGAGAGATTTGATTGAACAGGAAGAATAGACATACTTCCTCAAAAGCTCAAGTATCAGAAACCATTGCTTCATGAATATGCGGTACCTGATATTTTGAACTTTATGCCAAAATTTATGCCTGACAATGTCTGCGACAGGTGTCATGTATACAGGTTTTCAGGTATTAAAAATAGTCAGAGAACAGTTCTCTTGCACTGTACTTGTAACTTGACATATTTATTGATATTTTACAGGGTAAATCATTTTGGAACTGTTTTTTCATAACGTTTAGAAGTTATACATCAAAGCATGGTATAATAAGGGACATGCCTTATGAGTCAGATAGACTCAAAGATATCTTGGACTTTGCATTTATAGTTGTTCATGAACATTGTGTTGACGGTAAGTATGGTTTAAAATATAAAATTTGATGCATGTTCTAATTTTTGTTTCTTGTTGTTTAGAGAAAGCGGGTAACTATTAAAATGTATCTGTCTTTAGGTCCGTTACATTTTTTGGAACAGAATCACCCTGATTATGAATGCAGAGTGGATGTTCAAACTTGACTGAGTTTGATGTTAAGTATTTTCTGCTTAAGCTTAGAAGCATATAGGGTGCTTTTTGTGCTAGCACTAATATTACGCTTGGATGCATTGGAAGCAAACATCAATAATTGCATCGGTAAATTTGACCGTCGCTGAATCTTGCGCCGAACGAAAATTCTTTACTCAAATCTCGGACATAACTTCTGTAAACTTGTCATTCTGTACCAACCTTCGATACTACTGTCTACCATTGTGATGCATTCGATAATATTTATCCACTTTTGTGAAGAAAATCGATGAATGAATTTTATTTTATCAAAAAAGCACATGAACACAAAACCATCGCTAATTTTATCACCGATTTACAGGGGGTGTAACTCTGTATGTAATATTATAGGAGGCGCTAAACGTCTGTTTAACAACAAAGTGGCAATGGAAAAGAGATACTAGATGATCGTGACAAAACTCGCCTTCGCCGGTACTTTTATTTTATTCAGTCAGTATGAAATAATGTTTCGTTACGCGTGAAAAAAATGATCAGGTTAGTCGTTTAATAAAACAAAAGATTAATTAACAGATAATCCCGGGTTTATTGTTATTTCACATTTCTTTTTACCTGATCAGTGGGGGACCAGTTAATTAACTACTACTCACAGGATTAACAGGGCTGTTACGAAGAACGACAAGATGGTATCATTTAACATTGGCCGTTGAATGGGCGATGTTTTGTTAAATTTATTAGTAAAATAGTGACCGCTGGCCGCGTTAGAGGAGTGACTGTTGAATAAAGAGATGAAACAATAGAATTTTTACGGGGTGAATTTATCGTGACCGCTTACAAGGAGATGTTGCTTAATGGGAGTGGCTGCTCATACAGATTCTACTGTAATATCTTTCGAATATCAGCTTCAATACTGATAGATTCCATTATGGCTAATTCTTGCAGGGATTCTTTTCCATCTAAAAGACTTTTATACATTATGACTAGTTTTAATAGTTTATATAGATGAAAGTAAAAGAGAAAAAGGAAATTCCAGTAAATAATTATAATTTAGTACTTTTCAGTTATAAAAATAGATTTGAGAAAATGGAAATTCCAGTAAATAATTATAATTTTAGTACTTTTCAGTTATAAAAATAGATTTGAAAATTCCCGAAAATTCTCAACATTGAAAATTCCCGGAAAGTTTCCCACCCTTTGCAACCCTAGAAGCATACATGTAGATAGGCAATTTGACTTTTCGATGCTTTGGACTTTGGAGCATGATTAGTCGGATTCTAATTGAGCGAGAGTGATGAAACTTGGTGTATAGCTTCATTACATCGTTACACCTTGACTAAGTTCGATAATGAGCATTTTGTGCTCATGTTATGTAGAGTGATATATACATTGATGCTTTTAAATTTAAATTAGATTGATTTAATGTGTATTTATATGTTATATAGGTAGTGCTGCTACAGCTAAGAATTTTATCATAGATATAGCCAGATTGGCACAAAATAAAGATAAGCTACCGAATCTAGATTCCAAAAAGTTTTGTGAGTATTTATCCTTAAAGTAGCTTAAAGATATTTTCATACAAAGGTGATTAGCTTGTTTAATGCAACCTAAAAACTGGAGTTGTGGTCATATTTTATCATCGTCCCATGTCCATCGGTTGGTCAGTGAGAGATTTGATTAATAAGGATAGTGATATCATGATAAGGAGAGTGATTCCTTTTATTTGTAAGACAGAGGTACTTAGGAGTGCACTATTTAGAGTCTGTTTGAAAATTGGGGTTTGAAAAAAAAAAGGCTATTTTTCCAGCGTTAAAAATGACCGATGGGTCAGATTAGTTACGGTCATTTTCCATAGCCCTTGGTCCTGACCGGCATATACAGCTGACATGGAACCCATGGTCTGTACAGCTAGTACCTTTTTTGAAGATGCAATGTGAGTGACAGAAAACTCTCCTCGATCGAAATTTAGGCTGTCGGTCGAGATGGAGTGCCTTAAAAATAATGACTGTGAATGACAGAAACTCTAATTAGAATAAATGATTATTGCATTTAGTTATGATTAACAATTAAAATTTCTTTTTAATTGAAAGACTGACAGAAGAAATAGTTTTCCTGTGTGTAGTTGTAAAATTTTGTGTCCTGTTTATTATTGTTTTGCGGGGTGGGGTGGATGGCCGAATGATTAGCGCATCCGCGTTGTATCATAAGGGGTGTCATTGAGTCAACTGGCCTAGTTTCAATTCCCCAGTACTTGACAAGGAGTAGGGTCGCCTATCCAACCTTGTGGGTTTTTCACCGGGTCTTCCGGCTCCGGTTTCCTCTCACTGCTAAACAGCAACCGATTTATTGAAATAAAATTTTACCATATATTAGTCCCGAAATTACCCAGTTTGTGTTGAGTGGACTTTAAAACCCTCTCTCTCTCTCATTATTGTTTATGATCTTTTTTGCAGCTCGTGATCCATTTTATAAACATGAGACTAGGTAAGTGTAAATACTGTCATTTATTAAGCTGGGATATGGAGGATTATCTGTTCATTCTCTAAATGTGATCGATGACATTGAGAGCTGAATGACAGATTTATATGTGCACCATGGACAATGTTCAAACTGTACCCAGCATCTAACTGGCTTCTCATGACCTCACATGACGAGTGATACAATCAAATACTTCTGTATGAAATATGTTTTATCCTTTCCAACTCGAGCAGAAATAAACCGAAAATAATAATGGAAAATAGATCTATGTTTTTATTTGCAAAAATTAATTTGGAGTTGACTTACTTGCATAATTTGACTTTTTTATAAAAAGATCTAGTTTGAAGATTGTAAATGGGAAAGAAAAACCTTTGTTTTATTTGCTTTATGTATATTATATATCCCTTATATTTTCTAGAGATATTTTCCGAAAGTTTTTTGGTCCACCATCTGAGAAGTTGTCATATGTAAAGGTAATATTGCTTCAAATTGAGGGGGAGTTGCAGGGACTCAGTGAGTAAGGCCCCAAGTTGTAGTGACTCAGAAAGTAAGGCCTGAGTTGATGCAAGACGGTGAGTAAGGCCCCCATGTTGCAGTGACTCAGTAAGGCCCGAGTTGATGCAATCCAGTAAGGCCCTGAGTTGCAGTGACTCAGTGAATAAGGCCTCATTTTGCAATTACTCAGTGAGTAAGGCACTGGGTCACTAACCAGGAGGTCCCAGGTTAAGTCCAAGCCTCGATTTAAAAAAAGCATTATCTTTGATCCAGAAACACAAAACTTTGCACATAGTTTCTTATTGATGTATTTGATACTTTAAAACAAAAAAAATCTCTATATTTTAGTTAAAATAAGGCGAAAAATTTTGACTAAATTCTTAACTTATGTCTGGTAATGCTTTGTGAACTCGGGGCCCGGTCTTGGCTAGGGCCTGACAAGAACAGCTGTCTAGTCGTTCGGATGGGACGAAAAACCGAGGTCCCGTGTACACATTGGCGTGCACGTAAAAGATCCCTTGGCAGTTGGAATGCAATATAAGAGTAGGCCGTAGCGCCGCTGCCCAGGCAAAATTTCTCTCATAGCACACTGTATGGCGTATACCCGTCTTCAATTAGCCCAGGTTAGGTGCAGAAGAGTAGGACGTTAAACCCCATTTCATTTCATTTCATTTCCGGTCTTGGCTGAGAAAATGTCTCTAGATTTTCAAGCGTCACAGGCAGATGGGATGAAAAACCGAGGTTCTGTACACACATTGGCATGCAGGTTATTACAAAACCCTTGACAGTGAAAATTTCAACCCAGAGTAGACCGTAGCACGACTGTCCAGGAAAAATTTCCCTCTCCCTTTAAGTTATCCCCTCCCCCCTCTTAAATGGAGCAGAACACAAAATCGCGTCTTCTATAAAAAAAATAAATCTTATATGGGTCAGCATAATTTGATATCAGTAATCTTCAAAATCTAGCATCTCGGGGTCAAAACATCTGTTTCTTCATTTCAATGAAAGAGACAGCCCACATCAATTTTAAAAAGATATACGAATTACTGGTGAAATGAAAATAAAAGACAAACGGATATAAGGGTCAACATAATTTATCATCAGTATTTTTATTTTCAGGTCTATGTTTTGTTTCCAGTTTATTTACGATTATGTGGATCAGTTTGTCGATGTTTAATGAAGTGGATGGATGCTCCGAAACAAGATTCGGACGATGACTCGTACTGGATACCCCCGGAACCTATAGAACCGACGCTAATCGATAAGAAGTCCGACGAGGAAAGTACTCTTTATTTAAATCGTGTTTTAATGTGTGAGTCTTGTATTGAGAAATGTGGAATTTTGTTTTTGAAAGAAACACAGTTTGGTTCTCCGGAAGGACCGATGCATCTTCCATTGTGGAAGTTCGGAAATCCACGTCTAGAGGATTCGGAAAATCCTATTTATGAGGCCTCATTTTCAAAATCAGATTGGCGAGATGGCTTGGTTATTGATGAATTTCGTGATTTTATTTATTATCTGAAAATCCGTTATGGACTGCCAGACGATAAATGTAAAAGTTGTGAGAAGATCCGAAATGCCAAGGAAAGAATGATTGCGTTTGGTGACGATAAAGCGTCCAAGAAAAAAAAGAAACGATCAAGAAAAAATAAAGAGATTGAAGCGGGCAAAGAAATTGAGAATTTTATGGATAGCATTAGTGGAAGTGGACCAAAGGTAGACCAGTTGAAATATCTCCATGGTTTCGATGCTTCTAATCCGGCGGTTAATTCCTCACTGCTGGCCGACAAGCTTACAGATAGTCGCGTGAAATGTTTCTCACGGAAAGTGCGTATTGTTCAGAGTGCCCGTAATGGTATTACGTCTGGTGGATGTAAAGTTGTTAAGATATTGGATGAAAGTACGCGATGTCGGGAGACTACTATATACATGCAGTGTCAACACTTACACGTAAGTATTGTGGGGTGGGGGGAGTCGCAGTGGCTTGGTAGTTGGTAAGGTGCTGGCTCGCTGACCAGGAGTCCCTGGGTTCGATTCTCGTGTTGGCTGAAAAAGTTCCTAACGATTATTCGGTGTAGTTTTCCCCTTGTCAGTGTTGCAAGACCGAGGGCCAGTCAAGGGCCAAGTTGTGAACCAGGGGTCCCTGGGTTCGATTCTCATATGTTCAAAAAAGTTCCTTATCCGGTGTGGTTTCCCCTTGTCAGTGATGCAAGACAGAGGGCCAGTCAAGGAACGGTGTCGACTAACTTGGATAGGATGAGAAAAAAACGAGGTCCCATGTTGGTGTGCACTTAAACAGAGGGGATTCGATTCAGATTTTAAAATTCAGTACAGACTGCCTGACAAGCAAGTGTTTGGTCGTTTGGATGGAACGAAAAGTTGAGGTCTCGTGATATTTCTATGATATCCTTGTGGAAGTTGTACCTGACTTTTTTCAATTATTGACTGACATGTATTAAAAAGATTGATAAAAATACACAAAAGAAAAACAAATCTGTGCACAGCAAAATAAGATGGTCCACTCGACACAAACTAGGTATTTCGGAACTAAAATGGTTCCATTTTATGACAATAATTCGCTTGCGCATTGTGGTATTTAGAAGTCGGGGGAACTGGAGAAAACCCACGAGGTTGGATAGGCGACCCTACTCCTTGTCACGTCAAGCAGGGAATTGAAACAACACCACTTGATTCAATGAAAGACCTCGTGATTTCACACACACTTTACACCACTAGACCACCAACCCCTCTATGTACTTGTCCAAGCCTGAATTCCAGTCTTGATCATAAAATGTAAATTGTTGGATTTATTTTAGACGGAATTGTTGAGCAAGAAGAAAATTTCTGAACTTAAATCTGAAAGAACAAATATCTACTCTCCCAACTTGGTACCAAATCTGCCTAAAAAGTTTGAGTGGGCGGAAGGCAAGGGTTGGTGCGTAGCCGTCTTAAACTATTTTGAAGAGGAAAAGAAGATCCATAGAAACTACACAAACTTTACACTTAAGGTGGCTGGAAATAACAAGACAAATGTTGTTTCTATTATGGACTGTTGTAAGTATACATGGAGTCATGATGGCTAACTGGGTAAGACACTGGCTCGCTAGTCTGGAGGTCACAGGTTCGATCCCAATATTGGCAGAGATAGTTTATCAGGTTTTTTTTAACATGGTTTCCCCTTGTCAGTGGTGCAGGAAAGAGACTGATAAGGACAGCTGTCTAGTTGATTAGATGTCATGAAAATCTGAGGTCCCACGTACACATTGGCATGCACATAAAAGACCCCATGGCAGATGGAATTCGATATATGAGTAAGCCGTAGCGCCACTGTCCAGGCAAAATTTCCCTCATAGCACACTGTATAGCGTATGCCCGTCTTCATTAGCCCAGTTGGAGCCGAACAGTAGGACATTAAACCCCCATTTCATTTTATTTCACTTTGTAAGTATACATGTTTGTAATAGTTAGGGAACCACGAATCTAAGAAGTTCTGGGTATGCAATGGTTAGGGTGTCACAATAGCTTGATCCCGATGGTTGCCCAGACATTTCATGAGCTTTTCCAGCCTGGTTTCTCCATAGCAGTGGTACAGGACGGAGGGCATAACAACTTTACAGTGAAGTGTTAGGCACATGGGTACAATTTAAGCGTAATGTGTGTGTCCCCTCTGCTGCGTCGCCTCAAGGAGAAGATCAGCCTTTGAATGGCTACTTGTGGGATCCTTCTTCACTCTCATTGTAATACAGGGAGCCGCTGTGGTTCAGTGGATAAGACGCTGGCAATCTAGCCATGAGATCTTGGGTCCACTTCCTGTGTTGGCATAGATTGTTCCTCAAGATTTTTCATGTTGTTTCCCCTTTTCAGTGGTGCTGGGAGGAGGGCCTGACAAAGGCAGCCGTCTAGTTTTTCAGATGGGACGAAAAACTATGGTCTTGTGTACACATTGACGTGCGCGTAAAAGAACCCTTGACATTTGGAATTCGATATAAGTGTATGCTGTAGTGCCGCTGTCAAAACAAAGTTGTCCTTATAGTACACTGCATCGGGTATGGGCATCTTCATTAGCCCAGTGGGTGCAGAAATGTAGAATGTTAGACGCCTTTGCATTTGATTTCGTTACAATGTAAGATGTTAGTTTGTGAAAATGTTTTATTGATATATATGTTTGATATATTTCAGTGTTGAAGTATGTAGTTGCACGTAAGAGTCGTTCATGTCCTGGCTGGGTATTAGATGAAGAGGATGTTTTAACTAGTATCATTGATAATAAAAATTGTAAGGGAATGACTATTATTATAACACAAGGAATAAACTACAGGGAGTTTTTAACAGATTGGGAAAAACGTACAGAAAACAAGGTAATTTCTTTTTATACGACCACATTTCGCTTGTGGATGCTCTAGAGGCTAAAGTTAATATTCAAATGACTTTAAATTTATACACAGTGTTTAAGGTTATGAGACAAAGAAGCCTATTGAAGCTCTAGAGTTTAAAGTTAATAACTGATTGACTTTAAATTTATACAGTGTTTAAGGTCATGAGACAAAGAAGCCTACAGTTATGGCCCTTGATCACTTTGAAAAATCTTGTGGCCACTCTACAGGCTAAAGTTAACATCCAATTGACTTTAAATTTATACAGAGTGTTTAAGGTCATGAGGCGAAGAAACTTGTTGTTTTTCAACGATTTCCAATAATTACTGACAGAGTTATGCCCCTTGACACTTTGAAAAATCTTGTGAATTCTCTAGAGGCTAAAATTAATATTCGATTGACTTTAAATTTATACACAGTGTTTAAGGTTTTGAGACGAAGAAACCTATTGATTTTCAACTATATCTGATAATTACTGCCAGAGTTATGGCCCTTGACTTCGTTGAAAATCGTGTAGAAGCTCTAGAGTTTAAATTTACTAACTGATTGACTTTAAATTTATACACGGTGTTTAAGGTCATGAGATGAAGAAGCCTGTCAATTTTCAACGATTTCCAATGATTATGGATATTGATATTAAATGTTTTGTATGCTAAATGTTAGAATAGAGCAGAACTAGAAGCTAAATGGGTTGTTACTTGTAATCAGATTTTAGTGTATTGTAAATGTTTTCATTTGTGAGAAAAAAAAAATATGCGACAACCCTTGTTGATCCCAAGGACGACTTCCGGGCGTGTGTTTCGTTGCCTGCCAACCTATCTTTAAACTATTTTTAAGAAACAAAACCAAATGAGAAATTGTTTGATACAAAGAAGAAATATTCAAAGACTGGAGAACATTCCATAATTTATTTAATCTGTTTAGAAATTCTGTTGCTCAATATATTTTTAAAAATTTCTTGTTTCAGGTTGAATTAACAAAAGTATCCGATGAAGAGGTAAATAATCAAGAAACTTTTTTGTGTAGGAAAGGAATGTGAATAATTCAAGTGACAATTTGAAGAATGCAAATTATGTTATTCCTGCCACATAAAATATCAGAATGAAATGGCTATCATCTTAATTAAATAGAGTAACTGCACATGTTACAATCAGATCTTGTTTAGGAAAACTTTGATACAAATCTAGATGTTTAGTTTTATAGCTTTTAACATAACAACAGTCGATACAAATTCTCCATTCTTTCATTCTATTTATTTCATCCTTCCATAATTTGACAGAGCAACTACATGTAGACCAGTTCTGATCAGGTTGATTTTAAAAAGTTTACCTTATACATTATAAGATTAGTTATTACATAAACATTTGAAAGCATACCTTTAGATTTTAACAAAACAAAACAAGTTTGATTATTTAACATGTCAGCTATTTCCTTTCACTGGCTGTCAGTAGTACCAGTAGCCCCTGTTATTGTATTTTACAATAACCTCATTGGCACATGGCATCGTGGTAAAGTGATACTATAAATACTTTTACTTTCTTGTCTTTCTAGTAAGACGCTGGCTCCCTAGCACGGGGTCGATTCCTGTGTTGGTTGAGAAAGTTCATAGGGTTTTCTGGCACCGTTCCCTGTGTCAATGTTGCTTTGCTTTAAGTCTGTAACACTAGACTCGTATTGATTTTACCCGTATTTATATTCTGAAGAACATTTGCTACATCCATTTACATCTCCAAATCTGATTGAACAATTTTATCAGCTTGATGTAAATGGTGATTATACAAGTCTTTGTTTTACAGGTTCAAGAAGTAATGAATACAGTTGAAAGAAAATTTAAGAGGAAACCCAAACTTATTTTAGAAGAACCTACAGTAAGGATTGTTTTTCATTTAATAGAGTATATTTAATTTTTCTTACATCCTTGTTAGAGATCATTAAAAATAATAGGGAATTGAGTTGATGCCATCTGACAGAAACATACTAGACTAAGTATAGATAATCAGTTTGATTGCTTGATACATTTTTATACCACAAAATGTGGTCGTATATTGCCGTCCGTTCGTCCTTCCGTCGTCCACAATTTCTTGTGAACACTCTACAGATTGTTTTGAAATTGATATATGTTGTTTGCATTAGTCAGATGAAGAAGCCTATTTAATTTCAATAACTTCTGTTAACTTCTGCTGGAGTTATGGCCCTTGTTTCACTTTGTTGCACCTTGGAACGCTCTAATGACAAAAGTTATCAACCGATCTGTATGAAATTTATATGCATCATTTAAATTAGTAAAACAAAAAATCCTATTGAATTTCAGCAATTTCTGTTAATTACATCTAGAGTTATGGCCCTTGTTTCACTTTGTTGAATCTTGTGAACGCTCTAATGACAACAGTTATCATCCGATCTGTTTAAAATTTATATACATCATTTAAATTAGTGAAACGAAGAAACCTATTGAATTTCAACAATTTCCGTTAATTACGCCGTGAGTTATGGCCTTGTTTCACTTTGTTGTACCTTGTGAATGCTCTGACGACAAAAGTTATTATCAACTCAAGCCTATTGAGTTCCAGCAAATTTCCGTTAATTACATCTAGAGTTATGGCCCTTGTTTCACTTTGTTAAATCTTGTGAACTCTCGAAAGTTATCACTTAATATGTATGAAATTCATATGCATCATTTAAATTAGTGAAATGAAGAAGCCTATTGAATATCAGCAATTTCCGTCAATTACTTCTTGACTTATGCCCCTTGTTTTACTTTGTTGAACTATGTGGACGTTCGAACGACAAATATTATCATCTGATCTGTATGAAATTTATATGCATTATTTGAATTAGTAAAACGAAAAAGCCTGTCAAATTTCAACAATTTCTGTAGATTATTTCCAGTGTTATGGCCCTTGTTTTAGTTTTTAGAACCTGGTGAACGCTCAAACGACAAAAATTATAATGTCATCTGTATGAAATTGTCTATTAAATGCCCCTAATTACCTACAAAAGAATAAATATGCGACAACCCTTGTCGACCGCTTGGACGGTTGAGCTGCTGTGGGCGTATGTTTTGTTGCCTGGAAACCTATCTTAAAATATAAATGTGCAATTAATTAGAATTTGTCATCTATTTATTTTGGGATTTCGGCGTAGGACATCAGCATCACTGTTGGCTTGTTAAGTTTTATTCTGACATGTTGGGGCTTTAATAGAAATGTTACTTTTACTTTAGGTGTGTCAAGAAGTAGCTGATGGTTGGAGACTTTATTTTGATATTATTAAAAGAATCCGAGATTTTTGTGAATTTAGTAAGTAATTTAAATTAGTTAACCTTATACATTAAACTGATTGTTGAATTACCTGAGAAGTAAAGGGGAGGGGAGGTTGAGCTGTGTTGTTGGTCGAGTTGTCTAACACGTGCCCTTTAGATCATAAGGTCTGTCATTGAATCAATTGGTGTAGCATCAATCTTAAAGTTACAATTTCATATTTTTAAGTTATATTTTTAAAATGTATTAAAATAAAGCCCTAAAATAGATGGTATCTATAAACAGTCCTACCTTGTTAAAGAGTAATCCTATTAATCCTATAATTCACTATTGCCAGTTGAGAAATTGGCAAAAATATCATTTTCAACTTCAAATTCAAACGTTTGAAGATAGCTATTACATGGGGGGGTAATAGGAAAACAGGGGAGGTAATTGTGTTATTATTTCCTGTGTCAATGATTTTTAAGTGTGGGAAATAATGCCTATGATCGTATAATAGTGAGTTGATAACCTATTGAGCAAAAGACATAGAAATAATTATATTTTGACTTTCTTAGAAAATATGAAATCATCGCTTTAAGCTTGTACGTGACAATCAGTATGATCACCAGCCTAACCATGTGGGTTTGATCTGGGTCATCTGGTTTCCCCCCACAGCTAAAGACCCATACTCGCAAACAAATTATTGAAATAAAGTTGTACCATATGTTAGTCCCGAAATTACCTGGTTTATGTTGAGTGGAAGTCACAACACTTTTTTTAAAGAAATTACTATATTTTAAACAGATCGTCATGTTCAAACATTGATAAGTTTATTCTACTCAAAAAAATTAACTTTTAATCTATTTGTGATTTTAAAACTCTGGTGATTTTTTTATTCATTCATAAGGTTAGTTTAGTCAAAAGAAATAATTATTGACCTATTTGAGATTTTAAAACTTTGGAGATTTTGTTTTCATTGATACAAGGTAATTTTAGTCAAAAGAAATAACTTTTAATCTACATATTTGAGATTTTAAAACATTGGTGGATTTTCTTATTCATTGAAAAACTTATTCTAGTCAAAACAAATAATTATTAATCAATTTGAGATTTGAAAACTTTCCGAATTTGTTTCCATTGATATTATGCAATTTTAGTCAAAAGAAATAACTTATTTGAGATTTTAAAACTTTGGGATTTTTGTTTTCATTGAAATGAGGTTATTTTAGTTAAAAGAAATAACTTTTAACTTATTTGAGATTTTAAAACTTTGGTTAATTTTTTATTATTTTTTATACGCCCACATTTTCATGTGGACGTATATTGTCGTCGCCCCTGTCCGTCCGTCCACAATTGTTTGTGAACAGTCTACAGGTCACAATTTTTATCCGATTTCAATGAAACTTGAAATATAGGTTTATCACCCTAAGATCTCGTTTCCTTTCGATATTGGCATGTATCGGACTGTAACTTCATGGATTATGGCCCCTGATTGTACGAAAAATCACATTTTTGGCTTGTGAACACTGTAGAGGTCACAATTTTTATCCGATTTGGTTTAAACTTGAAATGTATGCTTATAACCCAAAGATCTCGGTTCGTTTGAATATATTCGTGCATATCGGAATGTAACTTCCTGAATTATGACCCCTGATTGTACGAAAAATCGCGTTTTTAGCTTGTGGACCCTATAGAGGTCATAATTTTTCTCCGATTTAAAAAACCTTATTATTATATCACCGTTACACCCTAAGGACAACTGAGTTCGAATTTCATGAAAATCGGCCCAAAACTGACAGACAAAATGGCCGCCCTTCGTTCTCAAATAGCGTAAAAATATGGTATATCAAGGTTGTGGACCCTATAGAGGTCACAATTTTTATCCGATTTTGTTGAAACTTGAAATGCAGGTTTATAACCCAAAGATCTCGGTTCCTTTCGATATTCGCGCATTACGGACTGTAACTTCCTGAATTATGGCCCCTGATAATACGCAAAAACACGTTTTTTGGCTTGTGGACCCTATAGAGGTCATAATTTTTATCCGATTTAAAAAAACGTGTTCATATATCACCGTTACACCCTAAGGACGGCTGAGTTCGAATTTTGTGAAAATCGGCCCAAAACTGACAGACAAAATGGCCGCCCTTCGTTCTCAAATAGCGTAAAAATATGGTATATCAAGGTTGTGGACCCTATAGAGGTCACAATTTTTATCTGATTTTGTTGAAACTTGAAATGCAAGTTTATAACCCAAAGATCTTGGTTCCTTTCGATATTCGCGCATATCGGACTGTAACTTCCTGAATTATGGCCCCTGATTGTACGGAAAATTGCGTTTTTAGCTTGTGGACCCTATAGAGGTCATAATTTTTATCCGATTTAAAAAAACGTAATATTATATCACCGTTACAACCTAAGGACAACTGAGTTCGAATTTCGTGAAATATCGGCCCAAAACTGACAGACAAAATGGCCGCCCCTCGTTCTCAAATTGCGTAAAAATATGCTATATCAAGGTTGTTGACCCTATAGAGGTCACAATTTTTATCCGATTTTGTTGAAACTTGAAATGTAAGTTTATAACCCAAAGATGTTGGTTCCTTTCGATATTTGCACATATCGAATTGTAATTGCCTGAGTAATGGCCCTTGATTGTAGGAAAAATCACTTTCGTTTTAGCTTGTTTTCTGTCCATCTCTCGAAAATGTGGGCGTATCCTGCCTGGCAGCCGCTGGTTTTCATTAGTAATCTTATTCTAGTCAAAAGAAAATATTTTATTTTTTCACAGATGAGCAGAAGAGGGGAAGTACAAAACGTCTGATTGAGATTGATATTATCAATGGAAAGATCGACTTTGTTCATTACGATAAGAAAAAATTCCCGGACTGGTATTATCCTGAACTAGAAGAACTCGATTTTATGTACATGAAGGCGTGGCTTAAACTAGAAAAACTGGGTGTTCAAACAAAAGGTAGTTCTATCGACCTCTACACAGTTATTCAGCAGAAACAGAAATCAGCAGTTTATGAGGCAGAACAAGAAAAGAAAAAAGTGTGTCTCGAAGCCGCTAAAAAATTTGAAGCTGAACGTAAAAGCAAACAAGGCAAGAATGGTAAAGTGCCGCAAACAACTTTCACCCATAACCATGGCAATATTAGCATACAAGTCTCGAAAACTTGTTTTTCACGAGTTGACGGGGAGGATCACCACCACCACCACCACAGTAAATGTTGCAATGCACACCATAGACCTGAATGTGCTTCAGCCTCGAAGAAATCGGGTTCATCTGACTCAAAGACTTCCATTTCGCCAGAGGATGAATTGGAGGCGACTCTGACTAGATATCTCCGCAGACAACCTCGCGAACATTCCAATGAAAAACCAGCAAATAAACCGAAAGTAGAAATAGTGGTGATGAACGGAAAAAAAGATGAAAGTGTTTCTTTCGAGCCGGAAATATCCAAAAATGATGTCATGATAAAGATAGACCGCAAACAACTCAAACCTGATGTCAAGGAGGAGAAAGGCGAGGAAGAAGAAAAGAGCCAAAAATTCGAAAATTCGAAAAATAGTAAAACTGAAAACAATAAAGAAAATATGGACCAAGAGAAGAATATTAAAAAAAATGAAGATGATGATGATGATGAATCAGAAGTTGATTCAAGTGATGATGACAATGATGAAGTAAAGAAAAAAACATTGAGAATTTGTTCATACTGTAATGTTACAGAACCAGTTTTTAGAACCTATAAGAAATGTCAAAGGTGAGAATTGAATTTAAACTATGCAAGTGCAAAATCTGCTTATTACAAGTCTTTCTTTAGGCCTGAAATTTTATCTAAATTATCAATTACAAGTTTACTGACTCATCAGATAACATATATCCACAAACATTATAGTTACATACAAACAATATATACATGGCAAGTAAATACAAACATTATAGTTACATACATACAAAAACAATATATACATGACAAGTAAATACAAACATTATAATTACAAACATCACAAACACAATATATAAATGTCAAGTTCATACAAACATTATAATTACATACATACAAACACAATATATACATGGCAAATAAATACAAACAGACAAAAAAGTATGGGGTGGGGTGTAAATAAATTGTGTTGAATTGCTAGCCTAAATAGCATACAAAAATTAAACAACGGAAACAACAAGATTAGTAGCGCTTGTGGACTAGTTCCTGATCCAAAAATGACTTGGACGGTGGTGAGCTAGTAAGAGCAGTAGTTTCGGTCGGTCAAAGTGTTAAAGGTTTTTTTTGACATGGACTATCCTACCCGCACCCCTGACCCAAGCTTTTCAAATTTTTCCTCATCCAATTTAAGGACTGAATAATATTAAAAAAGTGATGTTATTTTACACATTTTAAGAACTGTGTAATTTTTATATTCCAGATGCCAACAAGAACATATAGCCAAATGTCGTTATTACTGTAGTCGAGATTGTCAAGGTACGTATACAATTCTTGTTTCTTGATTGTCAGGGTACGTATATGATTCTTATTTCTTGATTGTCAGGGTGTGTATACGAGTCTTGTTTCTAATATACAATTGTGTGAGACTTGATTGTCAGGGTACATATACAAGTCTTGTCTCTAATAATATACATTGTGGAGACTGGATTGAATATTCTTGTCTTGAACTCCCTCATCTCAAACTGTCTCAGCTTCAACAACCACAGATATTGGTCTGCACAAGTGAAATTACTAGATGCTGTTACCAGTACTTTGCTGCACCACTGACATGGGGGAAACCAAGATGGAAATCCCAAGGAACGTTCAATGCTCTAAAGTGGCAGTTAAACTGTAGTAACACTATCTTAGTGATAACACAGATCAGTTTCGTACATATAGGGTTTATTTACATCAGAACAGAATATAACACAGCTACATACAAAACACTACAGGAACTTAAACTATACAGGAACTAGACTACGACTTGAACACATCAGGACGGTACATAACTATATTAAATCCATTTCGCCCCTCTGCCAAGGCTCTCTACTCCTCCCCATTCGTCTGTCTAACTATCAGCAAACTCCTGGTTATATAGCGTTCGACAAAATGGATAAGAATCGTCATCATATATGGTATTGTTTATTTATCAGATTATGGTATCTGTAATTGCCTGCATATTTCCTTTGAAGTAATTATCAGGTCATGTATGATGCACTGATCACTGCATTTTCCTTTTAAGTCATGCCGAGTGTTGTACACAGATCTTTTATAGCTTGTAAGGGACATATCGGATTAATTACATGTTTAATTAGATCATAGCCAGTTCGTGCCTTAACAGAAGTATATACAGAGTTGAATAGTCTATATCATTTATTATCAAAACCAGCTGGGGTCAATAAGTTCATAGAATCCAAATAATAGTTTATATTTTATAAAATAGAAATTAAGCACTTTGTCACACTGCATTTCAATTTTATTTAAGTTCTTTTGGTGAGAAATATATTGTCCTAATTCTTACATTCTAGGATTACCCACCAAAAACTTTTGTGGTGTTTAACTTGGTTTTGGGGAATTTCCAACTTCACCAACTAACTTGAATATAGACTCTTTCATCTTTTATATTTATATTTTACAGTTGAGGACTGGAAGAAAAAACATCGAATGGAACATCAAGAAAATCTTCTTAAGGTGTTAATACATCTATAAACTTATTATTTTATTTGTGTACCCTACTTTCAATTTGTGTACACATGTACTTTCATTTTTTGTGTACATATACTTTTAATTTTTGTGTACATATACTTTCAATTTCTGTTGTTAAATATTATTGAGGGATAATATGTATGTGAGAATCATATTTGATATGAATTTTTGATAATTGAGTGGGTTATATTTTTATTAATATTCATTAATATTACAAGAGGTGCTTACAGTCTTAGATTCCTTATTGTATATAATTTGGGAAGCCATGGTGGCTCAGTGAATAGACATTGGCTCGCTAACCTGGAGGTGCTGTGCTCAATCCTGATTTTCTGGTGTGGTTCCCCCTTGTCAGTGTTGCAGAACAAGGGTCGACATATTGTTGTTAACATTGGACGAAACATTGGCGTGCATGTAACAGAAACCTTGACAGTTGGAAATCAACAGGCTGTAGTACCACTGTCTGGCAAAATTCCCCTCATAGCACACAGCATGGTGTATGCCTGTCTTCATTAGCCCTGTGACAGCAGAGCAGTAGGACATTAAACCATATTTCATTTCATTTTGTATAGCTTGTCATGTAAAGTGCTTTAAAAGAAACATAACTATTGCTGAGTTTAATTATAGATGGTGCTCCAGGATACTTTAAATAAAAGTGTTTTCAGGTATGTAAACGAAGGGTCAACTTGTGACATTATAACCATGTCACAAAGTGCTAGACGTGTTAACAGGATGTTATACAACTCGTTTGTTTAATGGTGTAGTTCTGTTGTAGTAGATGACTAGATAATCACAACAATCAGTTACTACCATCCAGGCACTTATATTGCATGGGATTTGATGACAAGGAAACCTAAGTTTGGATTTCTTCTGAACAGTATCCCAGTTATCTGCTGTGGATTAACCAGTTCTATGGACTGGGAAGATAAAATGTCAAGTTCTTCGGATGGGACGGAAAACTAAAGTCCCGTGTATAACATCATTAACACTTTAAAAATCCCCCGACAGTTTGGGCAAAATTTCGTACTTAGCACATTTCATGGTGTATGACTGTTTTAATCAGTTGATGCAAAAACACTTAACCTCATTTCATCAGCATTTTCATTTCTATTTTTTATAGGATACATTCAGAATATCAAGAAGTGCGAAAATATTTTGAAATATAAATTATTAAATTTGGACATTTTATTAGTTTTAAATTGTTATTATTATGTATATTTGTTTTTTCTCCATACACTGGTGTATAGATGCTTTGCTTAGAATAAATATTGTAATAAACATCGTTTCCAGTTTGTATTAGCAGAAACTTATACCGTTATAGAGAGGGAGAGAAATGGGGTTTAATGTCCACTCGACACAAACTAGTTCATTTTGGGACTAACATATGGTTCAATATTAGTTCAATAATTCACTTGCGCATAGGAGTCTTTATCTTTAGTTGTGAGAGGAAACTGGAGCACCCGGAGAAAACCCACGAGGTTGGACAGGCGATCCTACTCCTTGTTACGTACAAGCGGGAAATTCAAACCACACCACATAACTCAATGACAGACCTTATAGCGCAACACACAGGGGTTTTACTGTTATAACTACCATTCTTGTGGATTTGACGAAGGAAGGGACCAGAACAAGAAATTGTTCTTAGGTCATCATGGATGGTTAATTCATAATATTTATGGAATAAGCACAGTTATAGAGTCTTTAACTATTCTAGATGTCGTGAGGATGGGATCTTTGGGAACAATCATTGAATTCTTCATATTAACAAACGTTAATATGTTATATACAGAATAATTCATTTACTCGTATCACATTTTAATCACCATTTGTTCGTATATTCAAAAGAGATTTATTGATAACTAGCGGATAAACTGGCGCTGCCCGGGTTGATCTCGTAACACCGGAAGTGGTACGTAGGCCAACGTCACCTAGCCTTTATCACTGCCCGGTCCGAGGTATGCCCTATGTATACACCAATTTTCAGCCTCGGGACAGCTCTAGTGTCATTCTGAACATCAGAGACACGCTACCTGCGGAGAAGAAAAAGTCAGCTACCATTTAATTTCCGTACGTTAGTTACGTACGCTCTGGTGTAGCCGCCAACCTTGAACAGACAGACAAACGACAATCACAAATATTAATATAGATAAGATATCAGAGCATATTGTTGATATCAATTTCGTGAATTCTTGACATTACGATCTAGGAGGCAAGTAGTCGCCCAATGGGTTATTGATACAGTGGTATAGGCGATATACGGGAAATAATGGCACCTTGGAATCGACTAAAAATGGCGGGGGGGGGGGGGCGCATTGGTTCTTCGAATGGAAAATGGAAAGCCAAGTAAAATGGGGTTTAAGGTCCTACTTTTTCAACACCACGCGGTTTATCACGAAGGCGATTGCTGTGTTAAAGCGGGAATTTCATATTTTCTAAGAAAGACAAAACATAATTATTTCTATGTCTTTTGTTCAATAGGTTATCAACTCACTATTATACGACCATGGGCATTATTTCCCACCCTTAAAAATCATTGACACAGGAAATAATAACACAATTACCTCCCTTGTTTTCCTATTGCCTCCATGCATTAGCTACCTTCAAACGTTGGAATTTCAAGTTGAAAATGATATTTTTGCCAATTTCTCAGCTCGCAATAGTGAATTATAGGATTAATAGGGTTATTCTTTAACAAGGTAGGACGGTTTATGGATACCATCTATTTTAAGGCTTTATTTTAATAAATTTTACAAATATAACTTAAAAATATGAAATTGTAGCTTTAATCATGACGGGTATATACGCCACACAGTTTGTCATGAGGGAAATTGTTCCCGGGCAACGGCATGTCGGTCTGTTCTTCATTCCTAGCATTCCAACTGATCAGACCTCGTTTTTTTTTTCATTCCATTCTAACGACCAGATTGGAAAATCCCGTGCAATTATCTCAGCCAACATCGGGATCGAATCAATAATCCCCTGATTAGTGAGTCAGTACATTACCCACCTCTATATTAATAGACCTATTGAAATACGTTGATAGATATCAGTATTAATATTATTATATACACCAGGCAACTTATATCACGTGATCAAAACAATATTCTTTACATTCACGATAAGATAGATCAAATAGGGCTCGATTGAGGTGAATTGAATTTTAAGCCTACGGGTTTATTCAGTGGCCAATCTAAAACCCAGTTATCTTTATGAAGCTGCCCGCTATCTTAATGAAAGTCTATACCCACCAACCTATCAAATTTGTTCTGCCCTTTGCCAATTAGTAATTTCCCGGATTTAATCAAGACTCTTCTTATTTCATATTCAGTCAAATAATCAACATGTCTGTATATAACAGATCAGTATCCCCAACAGAGCCCCTCAGATATCAGTAATCCATGTGTAAACTATTTGTTGTATTGTTCAATGATCAAAAGACGACGTCTTAACAAAGTTCGATAAATCTTCTTTAATCGAAACAGAACGTGTGTCGTCAGGTTAATAATATAATTCTACTTTTTGTTTTGTTACGTCAGACCACTTTCCATAGAATGTCTATCGACTTGCTTCAATGTAGTCCGTAATAAGAGAATGGAGAAATAACGTCAACAAGTCGACAATATTGGGAATTATGGATGAATGAAGATTATTTATGTGTTTGTAGTGTTTGGAATAATTTCTAAATAAGTTGAAATGTAAACCAGTGCCAAGAATGAAGATCTTATGTCACATAAATTTAAGATCTTCGCATAAATCTTTTGGGGGAGTTTCTTAAATGTAAACATGTACATTCACAGTGTACGTACGTTATAGTAGACGAAATTACCTGTGAATTTGTCTATATTATAAACCTATAATACAAAACACACCTGTGGGTAACACCTGTAGTGTGGTAATATACCTGGTTTGGTTTTATTTGACTGTGTTAAAATACGGTTTAAAGGACTTGGGTTGTGGATTCACGTAGACGGACAGCGTGATTCAATGTGAATTACCTGTGTTTTATAAATGTACACTCAATGATAGTTAAGACTGTATTTAATGTTATTTAATTGAAGTGTCGCCTACAGGTTATTTATTCAGTTGATAATGAATTTCAAGAACGATAACTCCGACTGTCTTATATGACCCTAAAAGAAAATTTATATTCTTTTATTCGAAAAGTTAACATAAAAAGTCTCAAGAATGCCAAGTAAAACTACTAAAGAGGGCAACGCCCCAACACCAAGATTATATGAAGCACAGTTTGTAAGTAAAAGTTTCATTATGTTAATGCCAGCGCGGTTCCAGTATTTTTAGGGTTGGTGGTGGGGTGAGGGATTTTGCACAGAGACTCCCTAAAACTCGCTAGAAATGGTCATTTTACAGTTTAAATCGACACATTTTAGTGAATATTTTTTAATACTTTTTTAATACTTTCGTTTACTTACTTTCAATTTTAACATGTGTTGATGAAAAGGGGCGCTTAATATTGTTTATTTTTTTACTAAATTACTATTTTCAGAATGATCTTCATTCAAACTGTCTTGAAGGATCAGTCGAAGATATTAAAAATTTCTTTAAGAAAGGAAACAGAATAAAACATTATGACGTGAGTATACTGTATACGTCCGGAATGCCGCCGACAGTCTTTAACATTTTAGGTCAATACCTTCATTGTAAAATACAAACAGTACAATTTAATATTGTAAATGAAATGAAATGGGGTTTAACGTCCTACTGTTCTGCTCCGACTGGGCTAATAAAGACGGTGTACTATGAGTGAAATTTTGCCCGGACAGCGGCGCTACGGCCAAGGAGGAACCACGCTGTAAAATCCCTATGAACTTTCTCGGTCAACGCAGATCGAACACGGGACGTCCAGGTCAACAAGCCAACGCCTTACCCACCCATCCACCGTGGCTCGTCATGTTGTAAATACAAACAGTACAACTTCTTATTGTGAATTACAAACAGTACACCGTCTTATTGTAAATACAAACGGTACAACTCCATATTGTAAAAATTTAAAACTTTGAAAATATATTGGAAGTGGTATCAAGTGTTTTAGAAATTTTAAGTATATCACTATTTCATTTAATAATTTTCTGAAATCTGTAAACAATACAACTCCATATTGTAAATACTAAAACTTTGAAAATATATTGGAAGTGGTATCAAGTGTTTTAGAAATTTTAAGTATATCACTATTTCATTTAATAATTTTCTGAAATCTGTATTTTCAGAGTGGATTAACTCCCCTACACGTGGTTGTTTTGAGTGGAAGAAAAGATGCACCAGAGATAATAGATCTTTTATTAGAACAAGGTGTAAATATTGATGCTGTGACAACTGCTGAAGAAAAAACCGCATTACATCTAGTGACAGAGAACGGGGAATTCCCTCCAGCCTTTAATATTGTTGTTAAATTATTGGAATGCAAAGCCGATACGACACTTAGAGACAGGGTTTGTTGTACATTTGTAAACTTTAAATTTCAATTTCCGTGAAAAGTATACCAACAACTGTAAATATCTCATAATCGCTCCATGAATTTATCGTAATGTAAATAAAAATAAACACCTCGGTTAATTAAATTCATCCCAATGATAATTTGATAAGCTAGCTAAAACATCCTGTTTCTGATTTGGTTGTTCCGTGACTATGGACCCGACTCACTAACGAGGAGGTCCGGGGCACTATCCTGTTGCTGGCCGAGAAATACTGCGGGATTTCCCAGTCGGATTCCCAGTTGTCAGCGGTACAGTCCATATAGCACACTATATAACACACAAAAAGGACCCAGCTTTATAATTACTCTAGAAAAAACACATTTGATATATAATATAAACGTCTGTTTTAGAATTTACGAACAGCGTATGACTTAGCATTAGCCAGAGATAATGACGTACTAGCTGCAGCTCTGGATGGCACCATGGAAACAGAGGAACTTAAACAATTCTATTATAAGAAAATGGCCGAAACTTATGGGGTAAGAAATAGACGCTCTTATATGGACTGTTCATTTGGATATTCACGATTATTGTTGTATATCGTTCTTTCAAATTTACATCATGTTTATTCCTCTTTATTTAATATAATAGAAATTAATTTTGTGTATTTTATTTTATTCTTATTTATTTATTTATTTATTTATTTATTTATTTTCAGCCATATCTAATACAAGCTGTTATAGATAGTGATGAAGACTCAATTAGAAGAAATATTGATTTTCATGCTGATCCTAATACACTTAACAGGGTAAACTAAATATTATTACATCTAATGTAATTGATATTATACACCCTGTATTTGTATAGTTAATGAACAGGTTGTATGTATATCGTTATACAAATGTTATATTTGTATATACCCAATAGTTAATGAACTATTGTGTATTGAATACACCAAGAGGGATTATATTTATTATCTGATCAGTTAGTAAAATAGAAGTAATCAGTGAACATTAAATCAAGGCCATTTACTGACACAGAATATAACAACCCAGATGTATCAGTAACTTTGCATTTGTTTCATTTCCTGTCAATCCAAGTCCCTTTTTAGTATCCACTATGTAACGTTACTTTCTAATTATTTCACATCGTCATCTATATTGTCTTAGACACGCCAGTCCACGAATGAGGAATAGACCCAAGAAATTCCCTTTTATGAACATTACCGTCAAGATGAAGTTGCTCACAGGTTTCCCATAAATTGTTTTTGGTATTATTTTATAGCATGGGGCTGGTGCTATCCACTATGCTATCACACATTGTAAATTACCAACACAGAAAACCCTGCAGATGTTGGTCGATGCTGGTGCTGATGTTAATCTTAAAGATCACGTAATATTATTTTTTTATCACTTTTAAAACTAGATAAACAATGAAACAAAGGTATATATATATATATTTTATCTTTCCCAAGATCATTGTTATTCTGTCCGAAGTTCGGATAGCTTTTGCATCACGTTTAGCTTGTGCATCAAGTTAAGCATAAGCAATAACAATATAGACATGTTCAATGAGCACTGCTCTCTACATCGGAAACTCCAAGAAAGTTAGTGGCAATAGTAAATACTATTCAGGCCTTTTCTTATGGAACGAGGCCTGTTTCACGAAGCGTATGTAATGGAACAGGGGCTCTATAGATATGTAGGGTAAAGTGTTCGGGTTTGTACGCGGTTTACAATGGATACAAAGAAATCTGTTAGATACGTGACTTCCTAAGTAAAAGTGCTATGGTGTATTTTAAAAGTTTCATTCATTTCAGGAGAACGATACAGCTTTAAATCTGGCTATAAAAACAGAACGATTAAAGAAAGAAGGTACAATGACCAATGTGGTTTCTAGTCTATTAAAATGGGGAGCAGATCAAACTGTTAAAGATTTGGTAAATAATTTCATACTCTATTCTATTAAGGAAAACTACTGAGAACTGCGAGTGCCAGAGCACATTCAATTATGCTTCTTTGGCAAAACCACGTGTAAATCATTGAATGTGTAATTCAGGATGGATGAAAACCATTTCGAGTTATCGTACTTTCTGATGTATTGTTAATGTTGATTTTTTTTCATGTGTGATTTCAGGATGGTCGAGACGCCTATGATTCGGCCAATAAACGAGGTTACAAGGACATCATGGCGCTGCTCAAATCAAAGCCAGCTAATCGGAGAGAGGTAGGCTTAATTTTATCTAAGTCTAGAGGCTATGTGCCCTGCTATATCCTTTATGCTTTTTGTATTTATTAAAACTTCCTCTGGCATGACATAAAATAACTAAATTCAACTATTTCATTGTGAAATCTACAACATTGATAGATTCTAAGCTTTATAATAATAGCCTTATACTGGCTTTGTACTTTTGAATAATCTACCCCAATGTAACTAATATTCTGGGATCTTATTCACACAAAAACTTAAACTAAGATATTTTAAGAATACAACCCTTTCATTAGTCAAGATCCATAATTTATTTTAGGGTTTTAGTTCCTTTAAGAACGGTCTCTGACCGGACGCTGTCCTCTGACCGTTCCAGTTCATTCCTATTAAGCTGCAATATGAAAATACCACTCTTTCCCACCTCCTTAATTCAATTTGTCTTTACCGTAATTCTTTTATTTTCGCCAAAACACCATTTTCTAGTAGAATTTGTTGACTAAAAACATAACCAAAATGCGTTTTAACTGATCCACCATTACAAAGCTTGTTTTTTTAATTGCGAAATTCTATTTTGAATTTTTATAAATTTGTGTAAGATGTAGTAGAAATGACTGCAATGATTCCAAAATAGTCTTAGATCAGAGATGAGTAAGGGCGGTATTTTCATATTGCAGCTTATTAGAGACGAGCTGGAACGGTCAGAGGACAGCGTCGGATCACAGACCCGTTCTTAAAGGCTGAATGGTTAGCACTTGCGCGCTGTATCATAAAGTCTGTCATTGAGTCAACTGGCGTGTTTTCGATTCCCCGGTTGGACGTGACAAAGAGTAGGGTCGCCTGTCCAACCTCCTGGGTTTTCTCCGGGTCCTCCGGTTTCCTCCCACTGCTAAAGACCCCTACGCGCAAGCGAATTATGGAAATAAAATTGAACCATATGTTAGTCTCGAAAAGACCTTGTTTGTATCGAGTGGACGTTATACCCAATTTCTCTCTCTCTCTCTCTCTCTCTCTCTCTCTCTCTCTCTCTCTCTCTCTCGTCATTGGCATATGACGAGGCGTATGACACGAAAAAGCGCATAGTCGTTCGGATACGTGCACACAAAATAACCCTTGACAACGAGAATTCGAGTAGTTGGAAACGCCGCTGCCAGAGCAAAATGTCCCCCAGTGCACACTGCATGTCATATATATTCGTCTTGGATCACCAAAGTAGTAGGACGTTACTCAGATCACGCCACATGCTATTTAGAACGTGTAGTCTTGACAGAATTGTATTGGCTTTCTTACCCAAACTGCTTTCCTACTAAGAATTGCCCGTGTGTGTTTGTATACTAATATAACATGTTTGCGGTTCGTTTTTTGTATTATTAAAGGATTCATTTATTGCCCAAACACCTATTCCTGAAACACCTCGTCGTACACCAGTAGAACACCCAACAGCTCGCGTTGCTAATAAATCACCCAAGATGTCAGCCAAGAAATCACCGACTAAAAATAGCAACCCATCAGATTCCAGTAAACAGAACGCAAACTCTCAAGTAAAACAACAGGTAACACCAGCAAGTTAAAATGCAATGCTATCACTGGAATTCCTTTATTAAAATACAATGGTATTGCTGGAATTCCTTTATTGAAATACAAAGGTATCAATGGAATTCCTTTATTAGGATACAAAGGTAGTAATAAAATCCCGGTATCAAAATACAATGGCATACTTAGAATTTATTTATTAAAATACAAAGGTATCGATGGAATTCCTTTATCAAAATACAATGTTATGAATTCAATTTCTTTTTCAAAATACAATGGTATCTCTGAAATTCCTTTATTCAAATACAATGGTATATCACTGGAATTTCTTTATTCAAATACAATGGTATATCACTGGAATTCCTTTATTAAAATACAACGGTATCACCGGAATTCCCTTTTTACAATACAATGGTAGCACTGGAATTCCTTTATTCAAATACAGGATACGAATATGACATTTTTATTTCATTGTAAATGTAAACCATTTTAGGGACATGTAGCATACAGACGAAAAGTTGGAAGGGCCGATTTTGATTGAGACTATTCGTCCTGTTGCCCCAAAGTACTCCAGCGCAGCTTGCAACTGATGGATTATTACGGCCAATTGGCCACTTGCTTATATAAGCATAATAGATTATTTGTCTTAAAGGAGCTAAATCGCTAATATTTGGGACCTAGAAATTGACACAAATGGGTCGCAACGCATATAATGATGTAATATGAATGTATATAAATTGATTTACATTCAATCGTTTCTGTTTTTACTGTAATTTTTAATCAGTTAGGTTCGGCGAAATACGCAAGTATTCTCAATCGAATTTCAATCTCTAGCGTCTGGTTATTCCACTCTACGCCGATATTATTTATTGGGCTTGCTCTCCAGATAAGAATATAGCGTCATTGTTTGACATGCCTAGCCTCGTTTTTCGAGTCCCTTATTACAAATAGCGCTGAAACGCATTATGGTACACGATTCGTGTACCAATTGTAAAATGTTTATTTTGTCTTAAATATTGGATATCAGAAGGCCATCTTTTCCCGGTAAGATCACAATATCAATGTTGATTTAAACCGACAAATAAATCGTGTTTTCAATGTCGAAGATTTTGGATGATATTGAGTTAGAGACTTAGCTACTTTAAATACGGTATTCAAGCTTGATATCACTGCATGTATTATTTTGTGTTACAGAGTGAATCATCATCTAAACCTGATGATAAACCAGAAGAAGGGAATCAACAGAAGGTAAGAAGTTAAAGAAGTAACTCTCCACTAAATGTTGAAGTTGGGTTGCCAGGGTGGATCAGTGAGTATGGCACTGGTTCACAAATCAAAAGGGCCCGGGTCCATCCCAATTTTGTCATAGAAAATTGATTGGGATTTTCCAGCCATGTGACAAGAACACATTCTAGTCGTTCGGATGAGATGAAACACCCAGTTTCAGTTCTAGTCATTCGGGTGAGATGAAACATCCAGTTCGGATGAATACCACTTGCAACACGTTAAAGATACCCTAACATTTGGAAATGGAATAAGAGGAGACCACAGAGCAATTAGTTGACATATGCCCGTCTTTAATATCCCGGTTGGTGCAGAAAAGTAAGACGTTCAATCCCATGTGATTTTTATTATATCTATAGATAGGTCTATTTGATTCCATGACATACTATGCTATGTATTTGGTGCCAAACTAACGGTTTTCTTTTTTACAGGATAATAAAAGAAATGGTTCAGCTAAACAAGATGCGGTAATTTTAAAGTTTATATGTTTACATTCAGTTTTAATTTCCTTCGTTTTGATGTGATTATTATTGATTTTATGATTATTATTGATTTCTTTTTTTGAACCTTAGGGGCGCTTACTTCGTCTCATGGGGTGTGTGTGTGTGTGTGGGGGGGGGGGGGGGTAAGCGAGCCACTTATAAAAAAACGACTAGATATTGTACGAAGACACGAATCGGGTTCCTATTCAAATTCGAACCTGCAAATCGTAAGAGTTGAAACCAAAGTAATCTCTTCATGGTCCATTCGCATTAATTAATAATGGTACAAGATGTTCATTTAATTAATATTAGGTCATATTATTATTGTTTTTATTATAGAATGATAAAGATAAGGATAACAAGGAAGATAAATCGAAAGATTCTGAAGATAAGAAAAAAAGCAAATCGTGTGTTATATTATAACAATACACCGACTTAAACATACATTACGCAAGAGCTAAATCTGCCTATTTCAGGTCTTTCTTTAGGCCTAAAATGTTATCTAAATTATTAATTAGACATTAATTAACACACAAAGACCATAATCAACTCTCGATGCCAAAGGATGCCCCCGGTTTTAACTAGATTAGAACGGTTCGCCATTTAATAATTTAATTTAAAAATGGGAAAGCGAGGCTAAGTCTCGAATATAGCAGTACCCTGGTTACCACTATGCACAAATCTTGTCAAAACTACCAACAGTGATAACTTGGCTCAGAATGAAGTAATTTGAATGAAATTTTCAGTATTTTCATTTTACATTATCTATTTTTGAGCTATTATAGCAAGACTCTAAGCTCTTTAGCTAAATCTTACATAATGTATCTTTAAATGATCATGATCACTTTATATACACATATGGGATACAAACTATCGTTAATAGTTAAACATACATTATGCAAGAGGTAAATCGGCAGGTCTTTCATTGTGCCTGAAATGTTATATAAACTATTAATTAGACAATCAACTCTCGATGCCGTCTTATGATCGTGGCTAGGCCTAAAATTCAATTGCTAATATCTCGGTTCAGATCGGAGCCATTTGACTGAAATTTACAGCATATTCCCTTTTACATTATTTAGTTTTAACAATTATAGTAAGAACAGCCAGTCCTTTATCTAATCTTCCATAATGGCCCTTTAATGTTTGGTAACAAAGAATATCGGGATACTTTACCCGTATATATTGTTGCCAAATTTCTGATAAAAACAAACGTATTGTATATTGTAATTCCAGATCTCAGTGAAGTTATATATTAGTATTATATATAATTGTTCACAGTGGAGAAATTTTCTATTTGTATTCAGTGAAAGATTATATTTGTGGTATCATTGTCCACTGTGATGTTTCATATTTGTATTATATATTGTTGACTTGATATTTTATATTTTAATTATATATTTTTATTATTTTAGAATTATTTAGCAAACAAATTGTGATATTTAAACTGATATTTGTGATATTTGAGTGCAACTCAAGCTATTTTCTTAATAAATTTAGTTAATACATAAATAATTAATGGTTGCATTTATAATATCTTATTTTGAGAGTGGGCGGGGTCAAGGATATTAGGTGACCCTATTTCTTGTACATAAAGCTTGAGGAGATGTGATGGGGGCCCTAAAACGCCACACTTATGTAATGATTGGTGTGTGTGTGTGTGGAGGTGGGGGGCAAGGGGGGGGGGGCACCACCAGCGGGCTCTGTTCAATTACCACCAAAATTTATTTCATAACACATCTCGGGTACATCTATGAAACTTGTGGCAACATGTTTCTTATTATTCCCGATGACAATATAAATCCTTCTAAATAGTGCACTTTGGGGACGAAAATCCGAATTCCCGTGTACACATTGGCGTCCACGTAAAAGATCCCTTGACAATTGGAATTCGATATAAAAGTAGGCCGTAGTGCCGCTGTCCGGGCAACATTTCCCTCATAGCACACTGTATGACGTATGCCCGTCTTCGTTAGCCCAGTTCGGAGCAGAGCAGTAGGACGTTAAACCCCATTTCATTTCATTTTTTGGATAATTAACCACATATAACTCCCGGTTTTGTATGTACAATGGAACTGTTAGCTATTAGGATTAAACAAAGACACATTTTGTTCTGAAATGGCAAATCTTAAATTAATTTCATGGGCGTCAACATCTTGTTTTATGGCTAGTTACCCCCCTTAGATTTTATTTACGATAATATAAAAGACTGGATAATCTCGCCAGTGACCTATTTATTCTAAAATTCGTAGAATATTTGACTGAATGATTATTTTCAAATTTGAGTGAAGTCTGTGTCAATACAGGCCCGGACTGTACAGCGCAGTGGACGCCTACGATCCATTCACTTGATTTGATATTTGTTTATTTGGTGCAATGTCTATTTTTGGTCTTGTCCGTAGGTTTATCTTGTAGATTTTTGTTTTACGTGTGCGGTCCTCCTGCACTTACTATTAAGGTAGCCAAATGCCTCGTCATGGAATTAATGTCGAGTTTGAATGGATTAACGAGATTTGCACTCTCCCTAACTACTAACTATCAAAGCTACAGCATGGAAGCTTTTCGGATGTCTCTGTTATGTAATGAATGTGGGGTATGGTGGCACTCAATTCCCCCAACTACACCTAAAGTTATAGACTTTCAGTAATTTATATAGATGCTATGTGTGTATTATTTACATTATTACCTAGTTACGTCGATTGTGCTTGTAACTTGACAACTACATTGATCCATTATTCAACTACAGTTCCCGTTCTATCCATGTTGTTGCACGCGGCACTAGTTTAAATGACGTCATCATAGATTTGGACATTTCATCAAGTGTAGGCCTAAAATAAATTTTATGACAATCAACGACTGTGAATGTTTATTGGCACGACAACACCAGGTTTTCTTGTACAAAACATTATTGTGTTTGATTCAAGACAGAAAGTAAACAAATCACCTGTCGATTTCACAGGTATGTTCACAGAACAAATTGCAGGTGTATTATAGAATAAATGAAACTAATATTTGTAACATTATCAGGGGAACTTCGGTTTCTGGGTCACATTAATGACTAGTCACATCTTTTGATAATCTCCTATAGAGAGTGTAATTAATCTGACTCACCTGTAAAATAATTTTTTTGTATAGTTGGTAGTAAAGAAGTCATCTTAAACATTGATAAATATTGCTAATTTTCCTCCAAATATTTATGATTGATTCCGATTACTAAATTTACAAACCAATAGCTAAGATGGTCTTTATAAACCACGTTGAAGCTGGGGCAATGGAGAGAAGTCGACCAAATCACCTCTTTGTAAAATCGTCAACTCTCTTTTCATGCATGTCTTCAAGGGGTACTAATCTTACAATTATGTTCTCATCCATATTTTGTATATTCAACCATCACATAGACAATGTTATCAGCAACATGTATGAGTGGTATCAGATGTTCTTTGAAGATTAACATATTGTCATCAAAACATTCCGAATATGCATTTGGTCACTGTGACGTCAATGGCGCCTGAGGGGATTAAGAATGTTTTCGATTATTGGCAAAGTCGTTTTTACGGGAGGTCTCTTTTTGCGACTTTAAAGTGAAGATATCTCAATTAATTTTAATCAGATTGGTGTGAACTTGCCGTTAAGTGGATATATTAACCATTAGCTACACGTACCGAAAAGTTTCCTCGCCCATCTTATGTGCCCTTTTTTAAAGCGTAAATGAAATGAAATGAAATGGAGTTTAACGTCCTAGTGTTCTGCTCCTAAACTGGGCTAATGAAGACGGGCATACGCCATACAGTGTGCTATGAGGGAAATTTTGCCCGGACAGCGGCACTACGGCCTACTCTTATATCGAATTCCAACTGCCAAGGGATCTTTTACGTGCACGCCAATGTGTACACGGGACCTCGGTTTTTTAAAGAGTAAAGTCGCTTATAGTCATCTGCATATTTAGGACAATATCTAAATTTTGCATAGCCTAATCCACGCTAAGATAGTCGTTCGGGTGGGACGAAAAACCGAGGTTCCGTGAACACATTGGAGTCCACGTAAAAGATCCCGTAGTGCCGCTGTCCGGGTAAAATTTACCTTACAGCACACTGTATGACGTATGCCCGTCTTCGTTAGACCAGTCGGAGCAGAACAGTAGGACGTTAAACCCCATTTCATTTCAATTTTCTCACAGTGATTCAATCAGAACAAAAAGAGCCCCATCAACAGAATTCAGCTAAAATCATAGGGTGGCGCTGGCTTGTACTGGCTTATATCCTACATGTCGTCTATAGTGGATGACGAATTGTGACAATATTTATATCGTTGTAAATGCTGTTGAAATTGAACCATTTTGAACTGTTATTCCTTTCTCAGCAGCCTATTGTAGTTTGCGACGGATTTCCCAACCATTCATATGACTTTAATATTGAGATTATAATTTAAACGAAACAATACTATTTATATTTGTAGATTTGATATGGTATGATTGGATATGGTATGAAACTCCATGCTGGTATGTGTTAAGGTTTTCAAAATACTAAACCCGGATTTCATTAACTTGTTATCAAGGAAACCATCATGGAGGCGACTAGTGTTACTTATCGAAAAAAAAACTCTAACTTTACCTTTTAAATATAGCATAGATCATATTGGCACCCATTCCTTAGCGTGGGGTGCTTTTTTCAAAATCCTTTCCTGTTTCATAAGTGGTCATTTTTACAACAATACGTTTAATATTCGGAACAGTTTGAACATTGAATCAGCGTGCAACTGGCACTATCCTAATAATATTGCGTCTTCTTGGTTCAACAACGGTCTAAACCCCATCAAGGAAAATAGTGAAACTGTTACAGCTGTCGTGCCTATAGGCGAGGTTCTAAACTTTTACTTAAATGTCACTGCGGTCGAAGAGATGGACATTTTTTATACTGTAAATGACGCACTACCGTTAAAAGCACCCTTTAGTTTCAGATGTGCAAAGCTCGAGTTATTTCAGATGTCATGGGAATACATTTACATCGAACCGTTCAACAAAATAATCCAAATTGAAAAAGATCTCTTCAAGATGAAATTGTGTCTGAGTCCAGATGGATACGGAACTTATAAATTTTTTATAAGTCAACAAGTTTTTAACAAGAAGTTGAATACATCAGAGATAATAGAGTTTCAATATCCTAGCGTGGTTAACGTCTTGGCTGATAAATCACAACTATATGATAATATATTCTTTACTTTTTCGACAATTAATAATGGACCCCTCGAAATAAATGAATCTACGGCTGGATATATTCTAGCAGAGACCAGACTTTTTTGTATTATTGATTTTATTATTGTTGTAGCCATCGAAAGAGTGGCTTTTTACTTGGCATTATGGTTATCAAATAATTATGTTTTTACGTTATTTGCTTTGTGTCAGTTTATTAAACCCCGAAATGCTCATTTTACACGTGTATTAGAAAACCATTCGTGTAGTGTTCACTATGAAGGCTATACAAGTATCCTTGAGATTTTAATTCTTCTTAGTTTCCCAATCTTAAATCTGTATGTGACGGACACTACATTACGGGAATATCTTTTATATATTGGTTTAGCATATTTCTTTTACTGGACTTTTCTGAATCATGAATTGATCTTTACCTATTATGAACCAGTTTCAGATGACAATCGTGAATTGGAAGCATTAGGTGGAATTCCTCCCATTGATGAGATTGTAAAAAAGTATGATATTTATATATCTTATTCTGATCGCGATTTTTTATTCGTTGGAGAAGAAATTCTACCTATTTTACGAAACAGAGGGATACGGTTGTTTTTTCGGCATTGCGATATATTGCCTGGAAAGCCAGTCTTCTATGAAAGTGAACGCGCGATTTGTTCGAGCAAGGCATTTATCGTAGTGGCTACCGATAACTATTTAAATGACTACAGTCGAAATAACTTCGAATTTGGGCTTGTAAAAAAAAGTCGTTAACCAATCCGATATTCCAGATACTAATCTGTTAATTTTGATTTCCTCGACTTGTGCTTGGAATGAGCATGTGTTTGATAAATACATGATAATTGCTATGAAAGATGATAGGGTTTTAGACGATGACGAGAAATATGAAATTGGTTTATGGCTATGTCAAATTGATGATGACTGTAATGGCCTCGCTATTGGACATGGTTAAAGATGCCCTGTGGGAAATTCAGATAAAGAGCTGATCGTTGTTGACATGATAGATCTAAATTAGATAACAACAAATGAATATATTGAAATTTCAGTCAAATTACTTGATTCTCAGCCATGTTATCAGTTTTTAAGTCTTAACAAAGAATTGAACAAGGAGTATTGGTTTAGAGCCCGTAACGGAGGATCAACCCTAGATATAAAATTGTTCTGATTGAGATACAAGTTTTAACATTCATGTAATAGGACTCGTTTGTAGGAAATAGTAAAAAAGAAGAATAAGATACCGTTTCAGGGCCGTGTTAACCAATGGACTTGTTATTTATTTATCTATTTATTTATTTATTTATATTAAGTTAAAGGCAGTTTTAACACATACTTACTCGTTTTTTAAGATTATACTCTGTTTTAAACAAATGTGCCGAGAAAAAAAGATTAAGACTAAAAAAGTTTTACCCCATTTTATAGTTGTGTGACGTCTGTAGTTAAAAACAGCAGTCCATTGAGAATTCTTAATTTTTTGCTTTCATCAATTCATCCTCTTTTTAAAAATGATGATCAGATCTACTATACGGCTGCTATGATAACTAAATTTAATGTTGAGCTGCCATTCATTACTGGGTGGATCTCTCTCTCTCATCGCTCTCTCTCGTGTCTATTCTGTTTAACCAAAACACTAACTTATGTTACAAACATGCCTGTAATAGACCACGGAAAATAACCATTTTTCTATGATTCACATGCAATGTTGACGTCTGCGCACAGTCTCTTAATTAAATGCTATTTTTATTATTATTTAACACTCTGAAGCAAGAGTTCAAAGCCAGATCATTCCCATAAGCGAGATGTTATATGTTTTTTTATGTTTATGATTGTGATTTGAGTGTAACTGTTTCTAGTTTGAATAAACACTGAATAATATTTGTGTTGTCATTACCCCCAACAAAACAATACTTATACCCGAGCTCTCCATTTTGTCTATATTTTCAATACTAATTGCTAGATTTAAGAAAACCAATTTACAAGAAAAAAGTTATCTTATTGCATTATATATTTCCATCTCTACATTGTCTGTAATAAATTTAATTATTGGATACAAAAACATTTTGTTTGTAATATCTTCTTCGTATTAAGCATAGTCTGCTTCGTGTAAAACACCCAGATTCCAGACTGATCGCTTATAGATGCTCCTAACCCTGCGTAGACAAATCAATCCTTGGTATAAAATAATTGCATCATTTTTGTGGTATAAGATACTAAGATTCTCGGAATGTTCAAAAATATATGCCAAGAAATGTCATGGAACTACGTGGTTTCCCTTTGTCAGTGATGCAGGACGGAGGGCCTGACAAGGACAGCTGTCTAGTCGTTCGGATGGAACGGAAAACCGAGGTCCCGTGTACACATTGGCGTGCACGTAAAAGATCCCTTGGCAGTTGGAATTCGATATAAGAGTAGGCCATAGTGCCGCTGCCCGGGCAAAATTTACCTCATAGCACACTGTATGGCGTATGCCCATCTTCATTAGCCCAGTTTAGGAGCAGAGTAGTAGGACGTTAAACCCCATTTCATTTCATTTTGTCATGGAACTAAGTCAATAAGAGACCATTGTTTCTATTGACTTTTGCTCCAGATCCAAGACCAGTCTCCATCCAGTTTCGTCATCTTTTGCTGGTGTCGTGTTTCACAAAGCACGAACAAATGGCGATGCCAGATATCATTTTAATTGTAAAACAAATACGATAACAATAACCATTTTACCTATGGTTTTCAGAATAGCAAAAGTTTTCATAAATTAGATTTGATAGAAGGATAATACAATCACGATCAGCAAAAATAACCCAGATTGATGGAAGGATACTACAATCACGATCAGCATCCCCATGGGCAATAACTCAGCTTGATATAATACAATAACGAGTAGCACCCAGTGGACAATAACCCCGTTTGATAGAAGGATAATGCAAAAATAACCCAGATTGATGGAAGGATACTACAATCACGATCAGCATCCCCATGGGCAATAACTCAGTTTGATATAATACGATAACGAGTAGCACCCAATGGACGATAACCCCGTTTGATAGAATGATAATGCAACCAAGCGTAGCACCCCATGACCAATAACCCAGCTTGATAGAAGATAATACAATCACGAGTAGCACCCAAATGAGCAATAACTCAGGTTGATAAACGGATAATATGAAATAGCCTTACAACAGAAAGTTAAAGGTATCCGAATCAACCCATTATCAATTCGAAAATGCCCAACTCTATGTTGTTGCATAATAAAAGAGCAATGTCTAATATAGACATCTCCGTTTAACATGAAAACAAATTTAAAACTGTACGGAAAGGAAGGCAGTGGCGGCGCCAGAATTTTCCAGTAGCGGGGATTGCGGTCGAGGGCAGGTGAAAGGAAGTGGAATGATTTGGAAAATAGTTAGGATAAGGAACACCCTCGATATAATTAACTGCATCTGAGGATTGATCAGGATGGAGATAATGTGGCCCATGGAGATTTGTTGTGTCTAGCTTTGAATGGAATATAAGTAAATTTACTTAAATTTGTATTTACAGATCGTCCCCTCACAAAACATTCTCAGACTTAAGTTAAGAAATTACTCAACTTTCGATCCAGAAACGCAAAACTTTGCACATAGTTTATATTAGTGTATTAAAAACATTAAAACAACAAAACAAGAAAAGTTTTATAAAGGGCTATATTTTAAAATAAGGTAAACAAACTTAAGTCTGAGAATGCTTTATGAACCCGGGGCTAAATCTATATTGTTGACATATGAAGATTAGCAGACTCGAACTACTGGTCTTAATCCATAACTTTAAAGGATGACGCAGCCTGCACTAAAGATTAAGTTACAGACCGTTCGTTGGCTAATTCCTCATATCAGCTAAAACGCCTGTTATATAACAACTCTTCCAGATCCTAGTGTAGTAAAGACAGGTAGAAAGAAATTTTGAACCATAAAAAACGAAACGAAATAGGATCTGTGTTTTAATCAAGTTGTGTTCATGTTGTTTTTTTTTTATTTTTATTATTGAAAGATAAATAAAATACAATATTTTAAATATTTCATTAGTCTATCAATAAGTTTTTAGTGTCCCTGTCTATATTATGGTATTGAGAGACAATATTTCATTTTCACAATTCAAAGTAGACATGGTTACTAGTTAATTTAAAACTGAAAACGAGCTTCTACTGGATAATGGTCGCTTACATGATATGCCTGCAAAACAATAAAATAAGAACGATAGGCCTATTATCTAAATGCACATGTTGGTTGAGGTGGGTGAGAGATTGGGCTAGCGAGAAAGGAAAACACAATTTCTTCGGCCATTTTATCATTATGGCTGATTGTGTTTCATGGGTAACGTGCGCAATGAATGGGCGGATGGGGAGTGCACTCAGACATTGGTTTTCTGTGAAATCCAATACTACCCAAAGTGCTTCGTTTAATAAACCGAAACCCATCATCACTATATTAATAAAGTAATGCACCGGAAGTCTGTTGGTCGATCTAATAGCTCGCGGTAATTAGGTTTTTACTACTTTCTCTTTGACGACTGCGGATACGTAAAAAGTAGAACTTGTTGCCCAGTCTCTTTACATTTGTATGTTTTACGCGGTAGTTGATTGGTTGCTAAAGTTCTTGTGGACCTATCGTAATTTGACACAGACAATGGTGCCCATTTCGTACTTATTAGCATCTCGTAGAAAGGGAAATCCAAGACTTGCGAAAGAAAAGGATGATATCCTAACGACTTAACACACTCTTCTTTTCCTAGACAATTGCTGCTCATGACCTGACCCTCCAAAATCCGTTTAAAGTTTTAGGAATACGACCCAAGGTATCTCCACCATGTGTAAGAAAACAGGACATTTTATTCCACCGAGCTCGGGGGACTGTGTGACAGGGATAACCTGTCAAAGGGGTAATTATAAGGCGATAATCTCCACAAAGCAAAAAAATACCCACCTCGGTTGGGCTGAGTCCATGATCAATATCAAATCGATATGTAATAGCGCTGTTCAAAATGAAAGCATTTTCTAGTAAATCACCACTGATAACAATTCTGAAATAAACCCAATAATTTAGCAGGGATCCTGAATTAATGCATTAATTGTTTTCTTTATCTGTGGTTAACATATACTGTACAATTTATCACAACTTAACACAAAGGGCATAATATCATATCCACGTAGGAAGTTCCGCAATGAGTGAGGACAGTGAGAACAGTAAATATATTCTGAGAATCCCCATTAACAAAAAGGTTTACTTTCTATTAATTTATGTCTTAGAACGTCAGACATCTGCTGAAGAATAACTAGTTTCTACCATTGGTCGTTACAGTCAAGATGGAATCTAATCTAGGTTTATAGATTTAATTGTCTAGTTAACAGCAAGAACAACTCGAAGTCCTTGTGTCACTACAGTCAGCAATACTACTGTATAACCATCCTCGGTATCCAAAGTGGTCTCATTCCGTTCCACTATACTAACCCCCGGGGTTCATCCATGGGGGAGACACCACGCATTCAATTTATCTGCCCTTGACGATTGTGCTATTTTTATCGACCAATCAAAAGAAGTCGTTAAATACATTAGTTCTTACATAAAAACATCTTTCACATCGAAAAGATGTTTAAGAACTCATTTTTGAACTTATTTTTGAGTTCATGCCATATTGTTGTGAATGTAAACAGCGAGGCTATACAAGACTCGTTGCAAACTGTTTTTTAATTTTTTTAATTGGTTCGTAGAATCAAGCTACGATCAAGGGCAGATAATTTGAATATGTGAAGATAATTTGATACGTGAATACTCCATTGATGAACCCAGGTTATAGTGGATTAGAACGGAATGAGACTACTGGGGTATGTATTACTAGAACACATATTTAATGCTTTGCAAATATTGAACAATGTAAAACACATAAAATAAAAACACTATACCTATCATAGGCACAGTCCGTAGAACTGGTAGTTGTATCTTCATCGGACGAGATTAACCAGTGATATTTAGAATCGGTGTATAGTGGATTCTCATTCAGTTTAGAAGCCGACAAGTAACCACATTCGGCATTAAAATCACCCATAATTATAACATTCTGCGAAAAGAAAAATTAGATACGTGTTGTATTGTATACTTCAGTGCCGTTAAAATTAGTGTCAGGTTACCACACCACACATAAACAAACACAAACTGAACCCATCACACAAACCGAACCCATCACACAAACACAACACACATAAACTGAACACATCACACAAACACAGCATGCATAAACCGAACCCATCACACAAACACAGCACGCATAAACCGAACCCATCACACAAACACAACACACATAAACTGAACCCGTCACACAAACACACACACAATAAACACAGACATTTCAAACAATAAACAACAAACGTATGAGGTTTTTAAAATGTCCTCTCGACACCAACTATGTCATTTCAGGACTAGCCTATGGTTCAGTTTCATTTCAACAATTATCTTCAACTCAGCTGGGAGGAAACCCGAGAACCGGAGCGTGACAAGGAGTAGGGCCACCTGTCCAACCTCGTGGGTTTTCTCCGGGTCCTCCGGTTTCCTCCCACTGCTAGAGACCCCTACGCGCAAGCGAATTATTGAAATAAAATTAAATCATATGTTAGTCCCAAAATGACCTAGTTTGTGTCGAGTGGACGTTAAACCCCATTTCTCTCTCTCTCTCTCCCTCTCCGAGAACCGTAGAGAGCCCCTGAGATTGTGACGAGTGGACGTTAAACCCCATTTCTCTTCCTCTCTCTCTACACGCCAGCCTAAAAAACCAAAGGTTATGTTCCTTATTAAGACTTTTAAGTGTTTTCATTTTTAAAAGTTATTTTTTAGTTCTTTAAATTGTTGTTATAGAAAATGAAACACGCAGTCGCGCCATAACAGTTAATTGCATATGTTACAAGTCCCTGTAGGTCCTTTCGTTCAATGTCAGTTCTCGTGTTACGAGACATCCGGGTTATCTGTATTGTAATGGTGGTCTGTCAATAAAAATTGTCAACAGTTATCGCTGTCTGTGTTTATTCATATAGCTCTTCCTGCTAAACTGTCACAGTTTCCAAGAGATGCTAGCATTGTCTCTCCATTGTGATGCTAGACGATTTTTTGCTTGGATGTTGTTCAAAATAAAACAGTTATTGTAAATGAAAATATCACTTTAAAACTAGGTGTTACAGCTCGCTGCGATAATAAGAGACGGCGAATCATTTTCTACCTTCGTCATAATAGAAACAAATTATTTAGGGGGTCCAGTTGCTTGATGTAGTTTCAATAAGGACCTAATAATAATAGATCTAAACAAGATGTGATGGATAGACAACTTTCACCCACAAGATGCACATATTTATTACTGCATTGCAGATTGTTGTTAGATATGACGTCATGCTTCTCCAGGAAATCCGAGATATAAGTGGCTGGGCTGTGGCGGAACTACTCAAAATGGCACAAGCGTAAGTAAATAAAGGTCCTCATTGATCGGATATCCTATCTATTGATGATATATTTCCATTGTCATGTTATATAACTAGCGTTAAGACTGGTTAATTACGCAAACAACAAAACTTCTCCTTTGATAACAACCCAATCTGATTAAAACACAGATCCTATTTCGTTTTGTTTTATATAGTTGAATATCGACAAAGCCTGGCCAACTATTGTCCCACAATGGCTATTTAGTTAGTGCTATTCTTTTCACTTTCACGCGGGGAGAATTGTGGTGGAATAATTTGCAATTTATCAAAGTTGAAGCATCTCTAGCATTAATATCGTCCAGGCATTATCGACATCGTTCCGCAACAGGGTTCTCTCCTGGACACGCCGGTGGCAACTACTTGGGCAATGTCCAATTCTGGAATCTGCTCCCTTCAGCACAATCAACTTGATCTTTAGCTGTCTTAGACCTGTTATAATATTAGATTTATTTATTTTTTACAGGATAAACCCTAACTATGACTATGTTATAAGTGAACGACTGGGCAGATCATCTTATAAAGAACAATACGCTTTCTTCTACAGGTAATGCAAAATTTAGGCTTCAATCTATGGTTCAAATAGTGGTTGGGGTGGTCTACTGTGTCGCGCTTCGAGCTCCAGCTGGCGGGTCACCTGTGGCTCGCTGTCGTTGTTTCGATCCTTGGTGAGAGCCCCGGTTTTTTTTTTACTTTATCGACTTGTGTTGATATTTTTTGATATAAAAAAAGACTCGAAGGAGATTCTCAATTTATTGCCCGAAAAATGCAATTGACTATCTGTGGTTTCGGGATTTCAACTATTATTATGTATTATGTTTATTACAGAACTGACCTTCTGAAGATAAGGTCAACTTATCAATATGATGATGGCCCTGATGATGGTACAGATGTATTTGAATGAGAACCATACTGTGTGGAATTGGAACCTTTTAATACGGGAAAATGTTCGCATTATATTGTATTTATTAATATATACCTTAATACCAACCCGCCCCCATAATACGGGAAAATGTTCGCATTATATTGTATTTATTAATATATACCTTAATACCAACCCGCCCCCATAAAAACACATAGAAGAAAAAGAAAACAACCTACAAAACCCAAACAATTTAACCAGTGTCATTACTGTGATCATAATTTAAGACAAACTCTTGGAAAATGAAATGAAATGGGGTTTAAAGTCCTACTGTTCTGCTCCGAACTGAGTTAACGAAACGTCGCTTTAATTACAATAGTAATTGTGTTCCATATTATATTTTTTGTGATTGATTTTTATGTTAGGTCTCAAAATCACTTAAACGTCAATATCAAGAATTCAATTTTGCTCTTACGTCGAGACAAGCTGTTGATCCCGTAATACATATGTAAATACTCTATTTATAGGTGATTTATAAGTGGATTTTGTCATCTATTTGAGCAGATTTTGTTGTTTGTGGTATCCATATCAAACCAGATTATGTAGTCAGTGAGTTGAATGGATTGGTCGATGTTTATAACACACTTATGAATGCTCCATTTTCTTCCAAGGTAAAATAACTTTCTTATTTAAAAACAAATCCTGCGAATAATGAACTTTTAACTTTTCATAAATCAATACAAGTGATTTGCAATGTAGGGTATGTCAGGTTTTTCCGATGGGGTAGTATTTGGTAGTATTTTGGTAATATTGAGTTAGCATTGGGTGGTATTGGGTAGTATTAAGTAAATCATCCAACCAGATGTAATATTTATTGAAAAAAGATGGCTTATATTGTCAACCACGTGACCCCCAAAATGATATTTTATGGATAAAGTGAAGCTGAAAACCAGATATAATTAGCTTTTCAAATGCAATATATATTGGGTTCTTTGGAACGTTTTACAAAATCAATTTATTCTGAAAAATAAAAACTGCTATTTAATTTCTAAGTTGGAGAAATTAATCAAGTCGATGTTGGTCTCAGAATAGCAACTTTTAGGTTAAGTGGCATTATTTATTCAAAAAATGTTCTTTCCTCCAATAAATGACACTTTCACTGGAACATATTTAAGGGACATGTAACTTTATATTGGTAATGAATAAAATGAAATGGGGTTTAACACCCACTGTTCTGCCCCGATTGGGCTAACGAAGACGGATATACGCCATACAGTGTGCTATGAGGGGAAATTGTTCTTGTGCACGTCAACTTCGCGTTTTCAAACCACCCGAACAACTATACGTTGTCACTTGCCAGGCCCTCAGCCCTACACACTGATAAAGGAGACCAAGAAGGAAAATCTCGATGAACATTCTCGCCCAACGCAGAAGTCGTGTTAGTGAGCCAACGTCCTAGTCACTTAGCCACCGTGGCTCCATATTGGTAAAAAATCACGTGGAGTATATAGGACTAAGAAGAACAATTACTTTCCCTCATCTCATGACAGACGAATGTATTATTGGCAAAGCATCGACAGAGGTCCAGTCATGTGATCAGTGCATTATTCGATCAAGATGGAGTAGAATGGGGAATTCTTGGCCCGCTTCTGTTACTTGGCTTTTTGGCACGGCGGCGGGGACGAGAGCATAGCTGTGAGTTGTTTACAGGAATATCGTTTTTGACTAACCCGAAATCATATCTTTAGGAAGTTTCTTGATTTACGGACTAAGATGCATATTGACCAAAACAAAATTAGATGCATTACCCCAACTTACTTCATGAAATATATAACATATTTGTGCAAACACGTTTAATTCCATTTGTAAACAGTCTACAATAAATAAAATACACGTTTACAAATACACAATTTAACTCAATTTGTAAACAGTCTACGATAAATAAAATACATGCTTACAAATACACAATTAGCCACAACATGAGCAACAATCCAATACACAATTAGCCACCACATGAGCTATAACCCAATGCACGATTAGCCACCACAATAACATAACCATGAGCAATTACCCAATGCACGATTAGCCACCACATCACCATGGCCAATAACCCAATACACGATTAGCAACCAAATGAGCAATACACGATTAGCCAGCACAATAACATCACAATGAGCAATAGCCCAGCTTGATAGAAGTATACTATAAAATATCTTTACAAACAAAAAGCTAAAGGTATCCGAATCAGCTCTTTATCAATTCAAACATGTCCAAAAAATTAGAGACATCTAATCTGCTGTTTCATAGACATTTTGTGATTTCGTATTTGTATTTTCTAGATATTTGACCGAACTTGACATTATCCGTGTCTTGTTTAACACCAAAATGGCGCATATAGCCAGGAACGTCCAGCTTACACCAATGGCGGATGTAAAATAAAGATAGTAAAAGACAGTACTATCTTCTAGACCTTCCAGACAACCAAACGTAAACTGTACAACCAAGAGACCGGTTACCAGAATATTACAAGAATAGAAGATCTTATCTTTTTCATACATCTTACGACGAACTATTCTGTAAATATGACAAAATGCAGTTATTACAACTGCAGCGGAGGCTGGTAAGACATAGCCGTAAAGGACAACGTTTGGCATAACACAAAATATATGGCTATTACTGCCGTAACCTATATCCCACGGCGGGTCGTTGATATCTCCCGTTGCACAGATGACAACAGTTGCTATGGGAACAACTGCAGATATTACAAGATGTCGGCAACAACAACTGGTGGTTCTTTTAGAATTTGAACTAATCATGTTGATGCACCAAGCCATTGAATTGTACAAAGCAAATAACCAACTGAAATGAAGCATAATTGGCAAAATGGTGGGTACGTTTACGTTTGTTAAATTTTCCAACAAATGTACAACATCAATGAAGGAGGTGGTCAGTGCTAAAATATAAAAATAGGCTCCACCCTGCACGGAATATGTCCTGCAAATACTGACAAGAAACGTGAGAAGTTTTAAGATAATGGATATGATTGTTAGGATGTTTTTATACAAGATCTGTGTATTACGATCAAGAATTAACGATTGTTCGGGAAGCAATGATTCACGGCAGACGACCAAATCATCACCATTTCTTACAAAATCACTCTGTGCTATTAATTCACCTGTCTTCAACCTCACTCGTTCCCCGATTTCATCAAACATTTCGCTACTTAGTGTCAGAGTACTGTTACACATTAATGACGTACTTCGTGGTAAATTTCCTCCCGAATTTACAGTCTGCCCTACAGCATAGTCCCGATTACAATACGTTATTGACGCCACTATCCAAGAATTATTATCATTTTTACGTATGGTGAATCTCGCTTTGCTGATGTCTACTAGCCTTTCCTTAATGTCCACAAATACGTGTCGCCCAATCGAGATCATGGCTAAATTGTTATGCGTTTCTAAAATACCCACGGGGCAGATCTGTGTCGTGTCGGCTTCGTAATTTCGAATAATCATATTTTCAATACTAAAGAGGTGCTTTGATATTTCCCCATACATCAGATCGTGTAGCGTTTGACTCGTATCATTGAAGAGGATAGGAACGGTAACTGTAAGTTGCAGGAGCGTCAAACTTTGTTCAATTAAGATTTCGCCATGTGGTGTTGTAATTTGTTCAGTAATAACGCTTTCTTTTACGAGTTCTAAAGAGGTTAGCTTTATGCTTCTGTTAACTGAAACCATTCCAGATGATTGATCAAGTTCTAGTTTAATCAAGTCCATGGATTCTAGATCATCAACTACATTCTGTACCAGGTCCAGATATCTGCTATATATCCATTTAGTGGAGCCGTTAATTGTAACGTACAGTGTAGTGCTGTCGTTGATGTTGCTAATATAGAGCGAATATAATGTTGTATTGACACATGTCTCATAGTATGGTAATGAACCCCGTGGACACCAAGTTCTCTTGCAGGTTTGTGATATCATGTCATAGACAGCTGCTATACCACAATTACTGGGAAATCCATCAAGTACCGTACCTAGATCCGATGAGTAAAATATAAACTTATTTTCATAAACACCAAAATCGTGGTTGACTTCTTTAGTATATGGCCACTGTGATCTGCCTCCAAAATGTCCTGACAAGTAACAAGCTACTTCATTTGAAGTCGTGTTTGTGTCTTTAAAGACACCCCACCCATGCTGACATGCATAACAATGTGGGTTCTTATACCACAGTCCATCTCTTTGGTATTGGTAATGATAGGCGTCACATAGCAGGGAAAGGTTGTTCTCGATAAGATCATCCGAATTCGTATTCTCCGAGTCCTGTATATCTATTTCTGGTTTAACAGTGACAGAATCCTGAAATGAATTGACACTAGTGACGTTGTGTCCTGAGTTGTCGTGTCTTTCCATCGTATTAGTAATGTTTACTTCTTGATTGTCACCAGCGTTGCGTTTCTTAATAGCATGACCATCAGGAGAAACTGTGTCTTTATCATTAATTCCACTAGTGTTAAAGTCCTCTTCTGCAACTTTAAAACCGGAATCCGAGACGCTTCTAACTTCCCTGTCTGGCGGCTGTAGTATAAGGGAATTACAGGCCGGCTGTTCAACAAAACCATCACAGAATCGCACTCGTACACCAGTTGGTTTTGTCAGTCGTGTTTCACAACGTTCTTCTGGATAAAGCCGAAGTTCTTCTATTGTTCGCAAAGTAACTTCTTTATCCACCTGACATTTAATTTTAGCCGACCAATACTTGATACCTTCAGTAAGATCCAAATAATTGCAAACAGCACAATACACGTTTTGGTAGGTCATGAAGGGTGTTGACAGCACAGACAGTGGAATATCCAAAGGAAATGCCCGGGTTCTTCCTTCACATTTGTCTTTAATATCTCCATCAGGGTAATCTTTATTACAAGTAGCAATAGACCATATGTGAGTCGGATAATCGCCAACGGTGACTTTATTACAGCTGGCCAATTTAGAGAAACTTATTAGATCGTTATCCTCTCGTTCATGTATAGAAATTTTGCTTTTGACTACTATAAAGTTCAAAATGTCTTGGCTATTAATAAAAGTTTTACATTTCGTGTAGTAATCTTGACAGCAGTCACCAAATGTAACACAATACTCATCACACATGCATTTGGCCACTGGGGCCGACAGAGACGTGTCAGATTCTGTGCAGTTACTCGGCACGCAGGATTGAACTGGTATACCGCATCCAAATTTAAGTCCAAAGAATTCTTCCAAAATAGCAAGTGTTGGCACCATACCCAAAGAAACCAAAACCATTCCATCTGTAACATATTAAAGGTTAAAGCGTTCTTATAGATAGATAACAAGTGTTATTTTAGAAAGACGCTGGTTAGACTTTTACAGGAGTAACCTATGTATCCAGTGCTTGATATAAAATGTAAAAAACGAACTGATGCATTGTTATTCCTGGTAAGACAAACGCATTAACTACTGAGATAGTATAGTAGAATATACACAACGTGATTCCTAGCCAAAAGAAGATAATTACAAATATAACCAGAGACAATACTAGACGATCGCAAGGCTATCAAATTATGTAGCTGGCAGAGGAGTGAGTATGAGTCACACGTTGGATGTGGGAAGTTTTCGGCTTACTGTGGGAAGTTTTCGGCTTACTGGCTTTCCACATATAGCCAGCGACTCATAGCAATGCATAGTACTATATTATATCAAATTCCAGCTGCCAAGGAATCTTGTACGTGCACGCCAATGTATACACGGGACCTCAGTTTTTCGTCCCATCAGCATAGCGCTCGGGTTGGTGCAGAAAAGTTTTTGCAAATATTGAACGTAATTAAAAGATGTTACACTGACATTCCCTTTGGAGATTACAGATTCACAATATTGTGGTTTGCAAATGAAGACCAATGTTTTTATAAGAATTAAAAAAAAATTGGGAATATTGTTGAAAAATATATTTACAGAAGTCGAATTGAATATTTTTTATTTGAAGACTAGTATTTTAGTAAATGGCAACATAACATCTGACTTTTATCTTTTACTAAAGTTCGACTGAGTATAAAAAATAATAAAATGAAATGAAATGAAATGGGGTTTAACGTCCTATTATTCTGCTCCGACTGGGCTAATGAAGACGGGCATACGCCATACAGTGTGCTATGAGGGAAATGTTGCCCTGGCAGCGCCACTATGGCCTACTCTTATATCAAATTCCAACTGCCAAGTGATCTTTTACGTGGACGCCAATTTATACACGGGACCTCGGGTTTTCGTCCCATCCGAGCCACTAGACAGCTGTCCTTGCCAGGACCTCCGTCTTACAACACTGACAAGAGGAAACCACGTCGGAAAATCCCGATGAACATTCTCAGTCAAAAAAAACCCCAAAAAACAATAAGCATACTTACAAACAAGAACAAGCATATAATACGCCATATTGAAATATCACCATGTGATGAATCGAGTCAGTTCTCTCAAATAAAACACTTTGATAATCTCATCGTATAGATTAGTACACATTGAATGTTTTTTTTTATCATGTGGTTTTTATCTATTCTGTCTCTACTTCATACACCTGAAAACACGTTCAGTGGTAGTCACCAGGGTCGATAAATGGAATATCTCAATAATATTGTGTATAATCTCTTTTGTTATGGTGCATTGTTCAATAATCATTTGTTTTCATTTGTATGCTGATTGTTCCGATATCGTAATAGACACCTTTAACTAAAAGCTATTAACTAGATGAATTATAAACTACTGGTACATGTTTTAAAAAAAGTGTTTTACGTACAAAGTTATTCATTTGATTCTACTTATTAATTAACGCTATTTTGTTATCAATGATTATAAAAGGATGCAATTAAAAGTAATATACAGACTAAAGTATTGGCGTTTTATTAGGGTGGTGGCATTTGCTTGAATGGCGCTAATGGGTACTTTTAATACTAAAGGGACAATATTCTAGAATATAGAGCATGGGAGTCAAACATGCGGCCCGCGGGTCACATCCTGCCCGCCAAGGGTTTAAATGTGGCCCTTGGAACACATTTCAACAAACTGACGTGTCGATAATTTTTAGAAACCAGCGGCGGAAATCATTTATTATTGTTTCCGGTTTCAATAAAACTCTGACTTCTGTACTGTATGTCATAGATATCTAAGTTGAATGTTATACAAGTGAATGTTATGTTCAATTTTATATCTTCGCAATTTGAAACCAGTTTAAAAGATTACCCATTTCAAGGATGTTTGGCTTTGTTTTTAGAATTCAGTAAAGTTCAAGGACGTTTGACTTTGTTTTTGGAATTTTCGTATATCTCCGACCCACGTGATGTAAAATTTTAGTTCATATGGCCCCTGAATCGTAATGAGTTTGACACTCCAGACCCTGAGTTCACAAAGCATTCTCAGACTTAAGTTAAGAATTTACCCAACTTTCAATCACCGTTTCATGAGAAATATCTTCGATCCAGAAACACAAAAAGTTGCACATAGTTTCTTATTGATTTATTTCATACATTAAAACAACAAAGGTTTTATAAATGTTTTTTGTTAACATTAGGCAAAACATTTTGAGTAAATTCTTAACTTAAGTCTTAACAACATCGATTTCACCGTATTTCAGAGATGGACAACCCCTACCATTATCAACGTAAAGACTTTCTTAAATATACTAACGAATCCATACAACAAACCAGAAAGTGCCAGACCACTGATTCTTTGAAATCAATCGGCGAACAAATCTCTATACACATATTGACAATAATTACATGCCTTGGGATGTTTGGACATCATTTAATAATAATCCGCAAATATCCAGGCCCCAGGAGGATGGCTTCAATTCTAGCGACCAAGTATACCTTCAGACCTCTGGAACCGTTTCTGGAACACTTGTTCCTGGTTATTCAAATCCCTTTATGGCACAGTGGAGAAATGGAAGTTCTCGCACATTCCCTTTTGAAAACGGTTTCCCCTGTTTTAGCCAAATTTGTTAAATTACTAAATTATCTTTTACGATGCGTCTCTGAGAGCCTTTTATTGCAATAATTTCCAGTACAGTGCATGTACACAGTTCAAACCGTTAAGGGGATCACGTGGCTAAGTGGGCAAGACGCTAGCTCGCTAGCCTGGAGGTCGGGTGTTCGATCCCTGCATTAGCCGAGAATGTTCATCCAGATTTTTCGGCGTGGTTCTCCCTTGTCAGTGATGCAGAACGGAGGGTCTGACAAGGAAAGCTGTCTAGTCGTTCGGATGGGACGAAAAACCGAGGTCCCGTGTACACATTGGCGTGTACGTAAAAGATCCCTTGGCAGTTGGAATTCAATATAAGAGTAGGCCGTAGTGCCGCTGTCCGGGCAAAATTTCCGTCATAGCACACTGTATGGCGTATGCCCGTCTTCATTAGCCCAGGTTAGGAGCAGAAAGGTAGGACGTTAAACTCCATTTCATTTCATTTCATTTCAAACCGTTAATATTGACGTTACTATTTTGTTTGTGCATTCCCTAGGCATCACTAGGCAATGCGCGATCGCACCAATTCATCATAGATTGTCGTAAAAATTAACTCTGAAGAATCTCGAAGAACTTAATGGTTTTGTTTATAGAACGAAAAAATTCCAGGTGGTTTAAATGACTTCCAGTGAATGGATCTGTATTGGCGAACACGACTCTCGATGAAACATATCTTTAATTTTTGTTATGATGTTAAAAAAAAACAACCTTTCTGGCATGATTACTTAATGTTTATTGATCGAATAGTATAATTACACAGTTATCTACTGTATTGATGATGTGTTTTACAGTAATTATTAGAGAATGAGAGTTTGAACATAATACAACAACATCAGGAACGATTATTAGAAACGAGAGTAATAAAATAAAAATAAAAAAAATTCTAGTAATAAAACAGTAAATGAGTGGTCTAAAAGGGTATAAAAAATAACTACCATTAAAACGACTAAAATAATAAATAAGTTTTTAAATAAGATTTTTTTTTTATTACGATTGTGATTTTCTAGTTAAACAACGGCAATTTGTTATAAAGTAATGGTGCATAAAAATAAAAATCTGCTGGTTTGAAGTTATGCTAACAATAAATCATCACCCGATGAGACTGATTCTAGGGTCAGCAAGGGATAAATATTAATATTATGTTCTATAGCAAAACGGGGGCTGATGATGGCTCTTGTGTCTCTTGCAGATTGTTGTGGGGATATGCCAGTTTTACAAGGTGAACTTTTTTTTAATAAGCAAAGTTTTGAACCAATTCGTGGATATTCAGTTTTTGTCATCGTTTAACATAGAGGTTAAAGTCACTGTTTAAATTTAGACTTTGAAAATATGACATGATTGTCCACAGAATTTAAATGATAGATAAATCATAGCACCCAATATTTGCGCACTATAAACACTAAAACGTAATGGTCCAAAAGCTGATCCTTGATGGACGCCACACTTGTGGGCAATGTGTGATCACCAACTGTAACTCTTTGATGGCGGTTTATTAGCTTGTTAAGTATAAGATTTAAGGTAGTATTTCTCTGAGCCCAAATACAATCTGTGGTCGATTTAGGAGTATTAAATGGTCAACGGTATCGAATGCTGTGGATAAATCTAACACTACAAATAGAACCGAATCATTATACTAATGATAAATAGTTCCGTTGGTGAAATTCAGAATGTAGTATGCTAGTTGGGAAATTTTGCATTTTGTCTTGCCAGGCTGAAAGTGGGGATACATGATAAAGCAGTTCTCGACTTGGCAAGTCTTTGTGTGTAGGATAAAGCACGAGACTGAGGTTATGCTGGGGAAAGAAAGACTTCAGAAAAATCCCAAGAAAAAGAAAAACCGAGGCCGGTAGGTCGAGGTTTTTCTTCGAGGGTTTTTTCTGAAGTCTTTCTTCCCCAGCATAACCGAAGTCGAGGACTTTACCTTGCTTATAAACCGTCTATGTTTAGATGTGCGTAAAGTGAGAATATCCCAGAATTCCCGTAAGAAAAACTTTATATCATGTTTTCTTATGGAAAAAAAACCTACCCTGGAAGTATTACCCCAAATTCCTCTCTATATATTCAGACAGCAAGTTATTCCGGGCATAGAATATACCCCAAAGATCAAAGCGATTTACCATTATAGGTTTATAAAATGACATGAAAATAGTTCCGAACTGGAAAATCATACTTCGAAATTGAACATCCATAGTTCATGAAGTGAAGCAGCTTTCGTCATTTAGAAAAAAAACACGGTAATTCTAAACAAAAATACCATCATAGAAGACAAAGAACACGGGATAATGAAACATTAATGCATTAATTGTAACGACACGATCTACTTTATCGAGCCTACATTTCATTAATTTGAAAGAGTTAACAGGGATTGGGATATAGTTATAAAACATCATCATTGTATTATGAGAAACCCATTAGAAGCAAATGACTTTATGTTTTAAAGCGGGCATATAAAAAGGATTGTTGAAGTTGTGCTTCATTCTTAAATAGATGAGTAAACTAATGAGCAGGTTTGCCATATTTTGGTTTATGTTAATGGAACCGTTCATTTCAATTCCTAAAATTACAACAGGGCTAGGACTAAAGTATCCCATGTTCTAAAAAGTGGTGTTCCCGGATTTTAATTTGAATGATATATTACGATAGAAACACAAGCTGTGGGATTTTCATTGACATTGTCAAGATGGATAAGTAAATCCAGATACACAACAATGTTCACTTTGATAAACAGATAACCTGGACGAATAAACAAGATAACAATGACGATGTTAATTAAAGCTTGGCTGTTATGTAAGTATTATTGAATTTATAAATTCTAAACATGCTTTGTGAGGTGGTGTCCGAAGGGTGGGGTGGGGTGTGTGAGCACATCGCAGTCATAAAATCCAAATAAATGCCGACCTTTCCAATTATTATTCGTGTCAGTGAGTATCTTTTTATGTTACAAAATAACATGAAATTGGGGTGCTAGAGCTTTCTCTTTTATTAAATTCCAACTGCGAGGGGATTTGTTACGTGTAAGCCAATGTATACATGGGACCTCGGGTTTTCGTCCCATCTGAACGACTATGTGTTGATCTAAACAACTATGTGTTGTTCCTTGCACCACTGACGGGGGGAACCAAAGTCCCGTGTACACATTGGCATGGAAATTGATGAAGAGCAGGCGCATGACGTATTTACCCACATTCATCATCGCTTTTGGGGCAAACAAGTAGGATGTTAAACCCCATTTCATTTATAAATTGGCTGATGATTTCAGAAAATTACCATGGTACCAAAGGTCCAGTAGCTTAATATATGTTTTGTGAACACCTCAAATTAGAAGTTGTATCGGATGTACTAAATAAAAATCACACCCTGCCTCGTATATGATTGCTTGCTTCTAAATAAAGTGATGCTATGGACCAGGGTATGTGAAAAAAATCGGATCAAAAGCCACCAGCAAACTCCAATATCCGCGTTATTTTTATACGTTTAATTATTTTTATTGTAGGTCAGCTGGCGGTGGTTTCTGTCGAGATGCTCGAATCACTACCATCGATGGAAACATTCTTTGGACTAAAACTTACATGTACTTTTCCCCCAGCGACGTGTTTTAATAGATGTTTTGGAATAGACTCCAGGGGATCTTCGTGCAAGTGTGATAAACTGTGTGTTGTGTTCGGCGACTGCTGTCCCGATTTTTACACTTTTTGTTATATTTTCCCTAATAATGAAATAATGTTAAAGTTTATAAAATCTAACGGTAGGCCTGAACTAACTGAACAAGAGATGAACAGAATCGAAGCGTTCGCTGATTCCTCAAGTTGTAATAAAGTCATGATTGGGAATTTTGGGAATTATATTTACATAAGATCTATTGCTACTTGTAATAAAGATTACCCGAATGGAGATATTAAAGACAAATGTGAAGGAAGAACCCGGGCATTTCCTTTGGATATTCCACTGTCTGTACTGTCAACACCCTTCATGACCTACCAGAACGTGTATTGTGCTGTTTGCAATTATTTGGATCTTACTGAAGGTATCAAGTATTGGTCGGCTAAAATTAAATGCCAGGTTGATATAGCGGTTACTTTACGAACAATAGAAGAACTTCGGCTTTATCCAGAAGAACGTTGTCAAACACTTCTGACTAGTCCAGATGATGTACAACTTCGAATATGTGATGGTCATTTGGACCACCAGTCCTGTAGTAAGAACAAGGAGGTTCAAATTCCACCGGATACTTCAGAAAGGGAAGCTAGAAGCGTCTCGGATTCTGGTCCATACGTCAAGGCAGGATACGTCGGTAGCGGTGGGGTGAAATACCCATCTTCCTCTGGTCGTCATGATATTAGAAAACGCAACGCTGATGACACTCAAGAAGTAAACATTACTCTCTTCAATAGTGGAAGCGACAACACAGGACACAACGTTACCAAAGTTGATGCATTTCAAAGGTCTGCTTCAAGCAGTAATGATAATCTTACCGAAATCGATAAAGCATCTACACCTTCGCTATTATTAAAGACTACCAGTCTCCCCACCGAATCTGTAACCATCGCTGAGAAAACAATCATCACTACTCAGGTCGTTAAATCACAGGTAGTTCCTATGAGAATGCCATTTAATCTTGAAGCTGATAGTAGTAACAACACAGTGTCGACGGTGGCTAGCACCGATTCGCCACGCGATCCTTTGCAAGCTGAATTAAATATACAGGACTCGGAGAATACGAATTCGGATGTGCTTATCGAGAACAACCTGTCCCTTCTATGTGACGCCTATTATTACCAATACAACAGAGATCGAATGTGGTACAAGAACCCACATTGTTATGCATGTCAGCATGGTTGGGGTGTCTTTAAAGATACAAACACGACTTCAAAGCGAAATGAAATAAAGTGTCGGTTCACAAGATTGTTCGACCAGGAAATGGGACTTTGGCCATCAGGAACTAAAGAAGTAAATCACCAGTTTGGCGTTTATGGGAATACGTTTGTATTTTACTCATCGGATCTTGGTACGGTACTCGATGAAGTTCCCAGTAATTGTGATATAGGAGCTGTCTATGACATGATATCACATACCTGCAAAGCAACTGAGTGTCCACAGGGTTTCTTACCATACTTTGAGACATGTGTCAATACAACATTATATTCGCTCTATATTAGCAACATTAACGACAGCACCACACTGTACGTTACAATGGACGGGTCCACTACAGCAATATACGATAGATATCTGGACCTGGTACAAAATGTAGTTGATGATCTAGAATCCGTGGACTTCAATAAAGTAGAGCTTGATCAATCATCTGGAATGGTTTCAGTTAACAGAAGCATAAAGCTAACCTCTTTAGACCTCGTAAAACAAGGCTATCTTACTGAACATATTACGGCACATGGCGAACTCTTTATTGAACATATATTCACGCTCCTACAACTTAAAATTACTGTTCCTATCCTCTTCAATGATACGAGTCAAACGCTACACGATCTGATGTATGGGGATAGTAAACAATTCCTCCTTGAAAATTACAACATGACCATTCGAAATTACGAAGTTGGTACTGTACAATCCTGTCCCACGGGTATTTCACAAACTCATACTAATTTACCCATGATCTCGATTGGACGACACGTATTTGTGGACATTATGAAACAGTTGGTAGACATCAGCAAAGCTAGATTCACCATCGGAAGAAATGCTAATAATTCCTGGATAGTGGAGTCTATAACGTATTGTGGTCGGACCATCTTTACGGAAGGGCAGACCGTAAAAACGACATCGACTATATCACTATTATGTAACGACACTGTCACACTAGATCGGGCCATGTTTGATGAAATCGGGGAACGAGTGAGGTTGAAGACAGGTGAATTAATGGCACCGAGTGATTTTGTAAGAAATGGTGAAGATTTGGTCGTCTGCCGTGAAGCATTATCTCAACAATCGTTAATTCTGGATCGTAATTCACAGATCTTGTACAAAAACATCCTAACAATCATATCCATTATCTTAAAACTTCTCACGTTTCTTGTCAGTATTTGCAGGAAATATTCCATTCAGGGTGGAGCCTATTTTTATATTTTAGCACTGACCACCTCCTTCATTGATGTTGTACATTTGCTGGAAAATTTAACAATCGTAATCATACCCACTATCTTGCCAATCATGCTTCATTTCAGTTGGTTGTTTGCTTTGTACAATTCAATGGCTTGGTGCATCAACATGATTGGTTCAGATTCTAAAAGAACCATCAGTTGCTGTTCCCGACACCTGGTAATATCTGCAATTGTTCCCATAGCAACTGTTGTCATCTGTGCAACGGGAGATATCAACGACCCGCCGTGGGATATAGGTTACGGCAGTAATAGCCATATATTTTCGGCTAAGCCGAATGTTGTTCTTTACGGCTATGTCTTACCAGCTTCCGTTGCAGTTGTAATAACTGTATTGTGTCATATTTACAGAATAGTTCGTCGTAAGATGTATGAAAAAGATAAGATCTTCTATTCTTGTAATATGCTGGTAACCGGTCTTTTGGTTGTACAGTTTACGTTTGGTTGTCTGGAAGGTCGAGAAGATAGTACTGTCTTTTACTATCTTTATTTTACATCTTCTATTATTGTAAGCTGGACGTTCCTTGCTATATGCGTCCTTATTTGGATGAAGAAGCCAACTAGATTATCCAGTTCGCTGAAATACATGGAAGCTACAACCACGAAATCGGAAAATATCTACGAAACAGCAGATTAAAAGCGTGTTTGGTTGCCAATACCACACACCTAGATTCTGTTTCCATGATCCAGTCCGTTGTTGGCGTGTGACTTGGCCACCATCCAAAACATCCACCGCGGAGGAAATTCGAGGATTTTAATTCGTTAGGAATAGAATCGTGGCAAACAAAATAGTTTTAAAGCAGAATCAGCTAAATAGATTTACTTTTGCAAGAATTGGTTGATTCTGTAAGTCGTACATAAATTTATCTTTTCTTTCTGTATTCTCCCGGCATACGGCAACACCTAGTAACTCACGTTTTTCTTTTTTTGATAAACAAGGGAAAACGTAATGAATGAATATTAAGCCCCAGCTTATCCATTGATTTGACTATTTGAGTTACTAGGTTTTTCTGTGGCATACTAGGCAAATGAAGCAAGTTGCTCGGCTGTATCATGGGTGTAACTGCTTACAAAATCAAAAGATCGGAACATCTACTACAACAGGAAACACATATCCTAGTAACTACAAATTTGGTCCTAACTCAATTTTGATAAAAAAAAAAAAGTGAGTTACTAGGTTTTGACTTTTGACGGGACCAACCACCTACTACTGCTTAATATCTCTTTGTGCGAAATAAAGAAGTACCATATTATATCAGTTTACTAATGACCCGGCTTGGGTCGAGATTAAGTTAAAGTATATTCGATTCTATTTGTTGTTCAGTGCTGATTTTAGTATTGTATATTTCATATATTCTTAATTAAATTTGTACACTCGATTTACGTATATGTTGTTGGGATAATACTTTTCGTTTTATATTTGATTATGTACTATAAAATCAGAAGAATAACAATTGTTTATATTTTGATGATCTGATAATCTATAAAAATCAGGCAAACAATAGATAATTGGAATCTAATTTTATTTGGATTGAATAGAGAATAGGGGTATTTAAATAACTAAACATTTTGAAGGAATTATAGTCAAATTAAGGTCAGGTCTCAAATACATTTTATTGTATGTGTCATGGCACTATAAGAAAAACGAAATTGTATTCTAAACTTATTGTACTGAAAAATAAAATATAAAAAACAATGCCACATTGGAAGGGGATGTTCTCGCACGCTGCCAATTAAAACTGGATATGTACTTGATATCTGTATTGTCCATAATTTAACAAATGCCACCCACCTGTCCAGTTAACTGCAAGTGGAATTTATAGCATAGATTCCCTTGCTACCAACGTATTTAAAAGCTATAATACTCCCAGCATATATTCTCTTTATATACTAGACATCAAGGGGGTCACGTGGTTAAGTGGGTAAGGCACTGGCTCGCTAGCATGGAGGTCGGGTGTTCGATCCCTGCATTGGCCAAGAAAGTTCATCCAGATTTTCCGGCGTGGTTTCCCTTTGTCAGTGATGCAGGAGGGAGGGCCTGACAAGGACAGCTGTCTAGTCGTTCGGATGGGACGAAAAGCCGATGTCCCGTGTACACATTGGCGTGCACGTAAAAGATCCCTTAGCAGTTGGAATTAGATATAAGAGTAGGCCGTAGCGCCGCTGCCCGGGCAAAATTTCCCTCATAGCACACTGTATGGCGTATGCCCGTCTTTATTATCCCAGTTTAGGAGCAGAACAGTAGGACGTTAAACACCATTTCATTTAATTTCACTAGAAATCAAACTGTACTAGATCACATCATCTTCAACAGAGCATGTATACAAGTATTGACAATACTACATGAATTGTGAATGTTAGGAAATGATTCGTTAATAGTCCTCACACATCCAGACTTGAGGATGTCCATGTATACCTTCGCGCTTCAGGAACCGCTATGGGAAAGCCCATTGCCCCTAGTTATTCAATTATTCAAATATCTTGATGCCTAAGTTGGGGGAAGGGAATTCCTCTCCCAGGTGGAAACGGTTATCACCTAGATGCAAACGGAGATAAAAGCTGTTTTGGTCTTATCCCTATTCAATTACCAAATTGTTTTACAATGTCTCGCTGTGGGCCTTTTAGTACAATAGCGTACGCACTACACAGTGCCAACAGCTGAGCCTGGCGTTGCTAATTTAGCGTAGGCATTGTCCACACGTCTATTCATCGTGAGAGAGAGAGAAATGAGGTTTAACGTCCACTCGACACAAATTAGGTCATTTCGGGACTAACATATGGTTTAATTTTATTTCAATAATTCGCTTGCGCGTAGGGGTCTTTAGCAGTGGTAGGAAACCGGAGGACCCGGAAAAAACCCACGAGGTTGGACAGGCGACCCTACTCCTTGTCACGTACAACCGGCCATTCATCGTACGTAGATTGTCGAAGAATCTCGAAATATAGAAAGGTTTGGGTAACAAATATAAATCGATGCTTATGTCTTAAAAATATAGTATTAATTTGTGTTATGATTTTGAATTAACATATATCTGTATATCAATTAGTAATGCGCTTTGTTTCTCCAAGTGCTAAAACAATTCCGTGACATGATAGCTTTAATTTATTGTTTATTGCAGGTATTTGTATTATCATACAAGTATCTACTGTATTGGTGATGTATTCACAATTATCGAGTAATTATTAAATTGAGAGGGATTGGTTAGTAATAGCACGTCATCGTTTATTACACGAGGGGCGTCAATTCAATCATAAATCACTATTAATCAATATAGAATATGACGTAGCCGTGTCATGTATATAAATCAATCCAATGTGTTTCATCAATGGTAACCGATATAATACAGCAATGTACTTTTATTATGGTACATTGAAAGGGGAAGTAACTCCATTGCAATCTCACATGGTGACTGATACAGTAACGGAGGCACACAGGGGTACGATTGATGTGCAATGCAGATTTGATATAGAAAGATAACTCGTGTTTTCCTTTTGCTTTCTTCACTTCCGTTTCTTGAAATCTTCATTACGCATCTATCGCAGCAATGGTCTCTGTTTAAAAATATATTTGGAACGTGTTTAACCAGTTCTATCACATATGTAATAATGACTGACACCAATATTGTCCTTTAAGAACAAGAAGGTCCCATTCGAGTGTACAACAACTTATTTTTTATCGTTACGGAGTTGGGGATTACGGCCGAGTCCGTTAAATGTTTGAAAATGGTTTAGCATGATTATACCTTGAAAATGTCATTAAACCCATGTGATTTGTTCGATTTGAGTGGGGGGCAAACAACTATAAACCCACGATGCATACGCGTCATAGTGTCCCTATCATTATGTAATGAAATTAAATATCGAACATACAATAGCATAGTAATTCGTAATTATTGTGTAACGTAATACTATTATTCTGCCGGAATGACACGTGTGATAAATGAGAATGAAATGACAACTCCTATTATATATACCCGTGTGAGTTTATGACATATATAGATAATAAATACTGATTTGGTTAATAAATCAACAGTAGAGAAATGATGAGATTGTATCATTAGGGTGTGCAACAACAAAGACATAACAATCAACATACACAAAATGAATGTGTCACAGCAAATATTCAATTTGTATACGTTTAATCACTGTGGTGTTATGTATCATTACAGCTAGAGCCATGTTATTAATATAGGGTTAGCAGTTGAATACCGTATATATACAGATATCTGCCCGATTAATTATCCGACTATCTACAGACTATCCGAACAACTACAGAAGGGTTAGTCAATATAGTTTTAAAACAAAAGAAATGACAATAAAATGGGGTTTAACATCCTACTGTTCTGCTCCTAAACTGGGCTAATGAAGACGGGCATACGCCATACAGTCTGCTATGAGGGAAATTTTGCCCGGGCAGCGGCGCTACGGCCTCCTCTTCTATCGAATTCCAGCTGCCAAGGGATCTTTTACGTGCACGACAATGTGTACACGGCACCTCGGTTTTTCGTCTCATCCGAATGACTAGACAGCTGCCCTTGTCAGGCCCTCCGTCCTGCATCACTGACAAGGGGAAACCACGCCGGTAAATCTGGATGAACTTTCTAGGCCAATGCAGGGATCGAACACCCGACCTCGAGGCTAGCGAATCAGTGTCTTTCCCACTTAGCCACGTGATCCCCCAGTTTTAAAAGAATCCTGTGGATTTGTTTAGGGTGGTTCTACTTTGTTTTAAACCCCGACTGTTCCAATCTGATTAAAATACAGATCTATTTTTGGTTTCATTTTTTTATACTTCCGGTTGTAGAGGAAGGCCGCGTCAAGTGTCGCACTAGAAGCTTTTGACCCTACGGCGTCAGACATTGACTAATCTATCAGCGTTGACGTTTCTAGTCGTTTGGCATGAACTCGCCGTAACAGACCGTTTCATTGGCTAATCCCTCACTTCAACCAGAAGGCCGGTAATATAACAACTCTTCCAGATCTTAGTGTAGTAAAGACAACGAAAATTAAATTTTGAACTATAAAAAACGAAAGAAAGATCTGTGTTTCAATCAGATTGCGACTGTTCCTAAGGTATTGCAATCAAGTGATACAGAATTAAGCCCTGTCACATTTCTGACGGTCCCAATAACAGATGTGGTATGCCGTAATTCCACAATGATGTAGTTATTTTAGCAATGCGGACTCGACGAGATAGTATTGTATTCAGCTGCAGGCCCTTGCTTAATCGTCCAAAATTCTCACCGATTGACACAGTTTGTAGAAATTATAGAATTTAATTTAGGTATTGTGGTTTAGCTCAATTCTGGATATGTTTGCAAAATAAATGGAAAACACATAGTACGGGTCACATATACAGACATAGTCTATAGTTATTACATGAAAATACAATATCTCTTAATTAAAGAACATCATTGACTAACGTTAAAAAAAAAAACTAAACAAAAAAAAGTAAAAAAACAACAAAAAAAAAACCCTTTATAAATGAATATTTGTGACACAAAGGACAGTCGCCATTTTATATATATGATGTTATTAGTTAGTTAAAATAGTTAATAATCAGACAGTACTGAGTCATCAAGTAGCTGTTATGTCATAAGGCGTCAAAAAAACAAGACTATTGAATCATAGACACCACTATTAGCCCGGATTGCGTATTCAATAGTAAGTCACCCTTCTACACAAGTAGTAACATCTTTTACAGCTAGTTACACAACTGATAATTAATGGCTATTGTATACTTTTTAAACACTTTCTATATATAGTTAACATTAGTTTAGAATAATGATCACGAGTGTGATTTAATGACAAAAATGTCACTGGTAAATGGCCGAGGTTTATTAGTCAATGGTATGAGGTTAACAGTGATATATTGTTCACATTTGTCAACACTGAGATGTGGAAGTTTATCATTTCGTTATTAAACACCAGACCATCCAAGTCAATGTTCTGTTTCAACTTATTCGATCCCTTTAATTACCTAACTAAATGTGGAATAATAATAATAAGCTACCATACGTAAAATCGGGCAGTTTTTGTCATTAGAGAAAAACGGTAATTCTAAACAACAAAACAACACAATAAAAACATAAAAAAATGATAAAGCAGAACAGAAAAAAGAACATATTAATTGCAATGACACTATCTACTTTAAAGCATCAATAAATTATTAATTTGGAATCAGTTAACCTGGTTTTAGGTTGGTGTTATAATCCATTATCGGGATAATCAGATAGCCATTATAAGCAAATGACTTTTTCATTTCAAAGCCAATCAATTAAAACTTCGTGGGTTGATGGTTGCATTGAGAGTTCGTTGTTCATATCGAGATAAGCCCGCGCAAACTGGGCCCACGAGGTTTCATCTTGTACAATCCAGGACTGTTTATTTTGGTTTATGCTATAACTAAAACATTCCATGTGCTATGCTATCTAGAAGTAACCTAACATTGTAACATATAATATGTTCCTACGATTCTAATTCAAATGATATACAACGGTAGAAAGACCAGATTGAGAAATTAATCTTGAACAACTGGGTGAAAAGGTTACCCGGAAGAATATAAACAAGACGACCATGATGACGATGTTTCTGAAACCTTTGATATTATGTAAGTATTACTGCATTACTAAATTTATAACGTAATATTGAACCTTCAA